CCCCCCCCCCCCGCACACATCCCCTAACGTCGGCATTGAACGCACGTAATTTAAGAGACTGATTATGATTCTTCAGATTTAAGCCTCTTGTTGCTGATATTGACATCAATATTGTATGCTGTATTGTCCACATTTTTGCTTAACCGGAGTCGGCTGCCGAAGCCAAGGTCGTGCAATTTGGGGGGGGGGGGAGCTAGGGGACCAGAATAGTAAATTATCCTTACATACGTATATAGGCCTATTGGATGCCTATAATATATCATATAGTGATGAAACGGGGGGGGGGGGTTCATGCCTCCCCTTCGAGCAGTTTTTTCTCGGAAGGCTCATGGCTGAAGCTGGTATCTATAAATTGTTAACTGTCTTCTGTTGTTACTGTAAAAACAATTAAGTTTAAGCCACTCCTCCATCTCTGCAGGTTGCAAACCTCTTCAGATTTGTAAAAAAAGAAAAAAAAAGCCAAAAGTTTTTGTCCATACAACCGCCACACAATTCACGTGCGATTATACGGAGCGCCGTTTCAGCGTACGATATATTTAGGCCCCTAATTCATTGACGAGGGAGGAAGGCAATGCTCTTATTTTTACCGTCCCCCAATAACGTTACAGGTGATCTATCCATTACTTCAGGATTTGGTAAGGTTATATAGTACAAGAATCCTTCACACGAATATACAGCAGTATTACCAGAACGGGGCGACCAGCCGTACCGCTCCACAATCTATGTCATACTATAGAGAAAGAAAAAAAAAACTTTCCTGTATCCGTACGTGTCATTTCACATGGTACCGACTTTCCTTACCAGACTCACTAACCGGACACCTACGTGGTGAGTGTGTTGAACTGTGATGATCTGCTAAGAACTGTGTTTTCTTTATGGTACGTGAAAAAATTGGCTAATTTTTCATGAGTCTGCAGAAACCATTGTTCGAAAAATCTGCGTGAGCCGGCAGAATTTTTGCAAATTTTTCTAGACATCTAATATACTTAAAGAAGCCTTACAAAGTTGTAATCTTTGTGATATGAATAATCGTATCTTTCAAGGATTATACTTTTCCACTTGCTACGCTTAACTGTAAACGTTAATATAGCTTCTATTTCTGTTTATTTGATTATATATTTTTATATAAATTTAAATTTAATAGTATCAATTTGAATATTGGTTTAGTTTTTGTTTACTGGTTTTCAGTCCTTTGTTACAAATTGTTAAAAAAATGAACAAATAAAAATAATTAAAATTAAATTTACAAAAAATCACCTATGTGCTTAACATATTGTTCGAAGTTTAAAATAGGATAGCACTCATACAATAATTCCTTTCATGCTGTCAGTTATTAATACACATTCCTTTATTTATCCAAAATGAAGTAACTAAAAAAAACGTACAATTCTGAAAGGCATTTTATTATTATTTCATATGTATTAAATACAGCAGATTATTATCATGACCAAATAATACTAGACTAAGAAATGCACCTTTTTTATGGCCCAAACTAAGAGTATGTTATTTACATACGTAATGAAATCACTAGATCAAACTCAAAAAACAGGTTAAGATCATTCATAGTCAAATCTAGGTCAAGGGGAATTTTACTTACAATGTCAAATTACAATCTGAAAATGTGAACACATCCTACTCCCAAGGGCAGTAACACAAACTCCACAATAGATAGTGGATTCAGTATTGGTTTTGGATATAATTTATCCGCTTTTAAAATTAACAGTACCCCGGGATAAGAAAAATTGATGACTCCTAGCAAAGCTTGAACCACACACGACTCATAGATACTAAATTATTTCTCTCTGTAGTTGCACTGTATTACCAGTACTTGTAATAAGACCATTTGTCTTACCCATTAACTATAAATATACTAAATTAAAAAAAAATGTTTGACTATTTTAAAAAACAAGCAATTATCATATTTTAAAAATGAAAACATCTACTTCAAGACATAATTAATGCCTCACCAACAAAGGAAATGTACACATCACACTACAAATTTAGAAGCTCATATGCTGAGGCTCAACACTTTTTACTTGTTAACTTATGGACAAGGCTTTAATTTAAGGGGGAGAAGAGACAGAAAATCTTTAAAATATATTTTTGTTATTAGTTGTAACATTAAAAACTTACAATAAAAAAATTAAAAAAAAAAACCACCATACTAATTAATATACATACTCTGTATTGTGACTTGACTGAGATAAATTTTACCCCTTAGGTACCATTATGTGGGGATTTTATACAATTTACAAACAACTTCGGATAACACAAGATAATAAACTTCTCTGCTGACTTTGAAAACGACCAAATACATGTAAGCTGCTCTTTATTTTAAATGGTTATGACTGTTGAAACATTGAATGATTCATGTATACCTGCATATTGATAGACCTGAATTTAAAATAAAACATACGTTTATTAAAAAATAAAAAGCACATACAAAACTATCGCAAAGGAGGTTGTGACATAAATCCTGTTTGATATGAGGCAGAGAGCGCTTGGGATGATGGCATGAGGAGCTGGTTAGCACGGACAGAGTCAGCAAAAAGACTGTGATAATTAGGGAGAGGTACATAAGCTGCTGTGATCACACGCCCTGAAAGAAAAAAAAACAAAAATATATTTAGTAATCTTGACTGTTAAATCAAAACATGACAATGAAATGTTCAAAGTTGTCAGTTAAAACATCATAAACAAAATGAGATAATGCATCTTCAAATGTCCAAATTAAATTTGTGCTTCCAATGACAACTTCAAAATAATAAGATTATTTAGCCATTCACCAAAGCACATCTGTGAGTTTCAAAGCAGGATATTTTGTTTAGGTCCTAAAATTTTATTTCAATAATTAAAATTTAATCATCATTGAAGCTTCCTGTTGGTAATAGTAATATGTTGCATAGATACCCAATGAGGGATTAAAATGTCACTTTTTGAGATAAGCTTCAGGTTAAAAACTATCTAAGCAACAAGGTTGTATAAATAATTATTGGCCACACTTGAATATGATCTAAGGTGTTATTACACTAACACTTCTATTCCTTTTTACAAAAGTAGAATTCCAAGGTTTAACATCAGCTTTAAGAAAAAGTATTATGACCATTTCTACACACAGTGACTCCTATTTTTTTATACTTACTTAGGATAATAAGTGCATTCAAAACCATAAAATAATAAACACTTCTTCTTTATTTTGAGGGCCCAGGATCAATGAATTGATCATTCTGGCTCCTATGTCTTTTATCAATCACTGTAATCATGTGTGTACCACAATGGATTCATCTATTACCGGTATATTATGATTAACATTTACAAGATTAAGTCTTGAAAAAAAAAACTTCTTAGTTAATATCATAAACAGATTTATCTTGACTACCACTGAAATCTAAGATTTGCATATAAAACGATATAACAATTACACAACAACTAACCTGCGTAAAATCTTCCATGTAAAGCATTAACAGATGCTACAGCTGCAGATATACTTGGACATTTTACATAAACATTGCCTTGAGGTGAGTTTTTGTCAACATAAAGATGAAGCACACCTCCATGCTTATTACATTCATCAATGACATCATCACGAACTTCCTGGTCCCAGTTAGTTCTTGTTTCGCTGAAAATTAAAATCGAATTAAAAAATTGATATAACCTTGAGTTATAACAAACATCATGACTTCACAAAATCAATACAACAATGAGTGTTTTTTATTACAAATATTTGAAATAAAAGATAGGGCTTAAAGATTTCATAAATCAGCTGAAAATAAGCTAGCTAATGAGTGAGTCTCTTGGTACTGTGCTCATTGCTTCCAATGACTTTTCGATTTTTATGCCTACCGATTATGCATTTTGAGTTTCAATTAACTGATGTTTTAGTAATCCAAATCAAATTGATGCTTTTATTTAGTACAAATATGAACTAAATTAGTATTAATAGTTTAATTTTATTACTAATGAAATACTTACGTAGCTGGTTCAAACATATTTGACAACATGAAACACTGAGTGGCAATGGGAGGAGCAGCAAGCTGGATATGTTGGGCTACAGCTGCCCCAGGTGTTGCTGCCAGATTTGCTTGAAGCCCAGCTTGCAGAGGCAGAGGTGCGTGGGGGTTTATAGGTATTCCACCAATTGAGCCTGCTGCATGGGTCAAGTTGTTAAGGGCATTTGCAGCATAATGCGGAATCTGGAATCCTGTTCCTATTTTAGGATATAAATAAAGATGATTGAAAAATTCAAAACGTACCTTGTGATGGATTTTCATTATCGCACAGGATACTTTTTAATATTCCTTTATTATAAAAATCAATATAAATATACGAAGAGTCGATTTTCAAAACGCCGTATCCGCCATTTTGAAAAAAAATGAGATTACTGTACATTCTTGTAGAGCAAACCAGGTTCCTTTAGGACATGTTAAAGTTTATCTCAAAACACATTTTAATACTATAATATTCTATGTCTAAAATGATTTTATTTTCAAAACACGGTGTGAATTTTTTTTTTTTATTACCAAAATGCTGTATATATTTTCGGACCAATCCGTGTGATTGGCAAGCTATTCTGCGCATGCTCACTAAACATCACGACGTGAGACAACAACAAACATGGTGCATAACGACGGCCTGAATGAAAGAGTTGCTTGTACTATAAAATCTCGAAAAATAAAGAAAAAAAAGCTCAACAAGAGAAAACGAAAAATCATTTTGTCAATCAAGCGGAGGAAAGATACATGGTTCTGCAAGGTGAGTTACTGGTAACTTTATTAAAAAAACCACTAAATTTCATTTTAAATTCATTATTATTATGGTTATGGTAGCTACACACCAGAAGTGTTAAAGAAATAAAAATAAAAAGTTGCTTTACAGAGTTAGATCTAGCTGTGTTATTTATTATACATTCAATCTTTTACATGCAGATCCAGCCATTACAGAAGAAAGGGTGCTCAAGGACTGAAATATTTGCCCTCTGATTTGAATGTAAATAAGAAGCATCAACTTTTCCTGGAACAAAACCAAACTGCTATTGAAGATGATGCACACTCTGAATCAGACACTTCATTAATTTCTATTGTGTCGATCTAGATTCAAATAAAATGATTTTTGAATTGAACATTATCTTATTTACTTTTGTGTAGAATTCAGATTTATAAAAAACAATGATGCAAACGTATAGCACTCTAAACATTACACTATTACAAGAGACTTCCCAGCATTTATAATACTGTTCTGTTAATTAATATATCAATAAAAACATTTATCATACACACAATTATATAATGTATTTGATACAATTTAATTTTATTTTGTTATGTAAGTGGTTTGTAATCTTTAAACAACTGAATTATTTGCTGCTGGGAATAATGTTGTGCTATCAAAATGGATATACAGCATTTTGCCGCCAATTTATAGGTGTATACACAGCATTTTGAAACGAAATAAGAAATTCAACCAAGTAAATAAATACATTTTAATTAACCTACATTTCAATTTTCATCATAATCTAACTTATATTTTGAATATATACCTAAATTAGCATTTACTTAAAGTAGCAGAAAAAGTCGAATATCCCAAAACCCCAAAAATGGAGATACATCATTTTGAAATTCGACTCTTCATATATAATCTATAAATATTATTTCTATCATTCTAATTCTTGTATTTTTTATCGTAAAAATTATTCAACAAGCATAAAAACAATTTTCCATCAAATACCTTCTGCTAATTTTGCCATTAGCTGCAGTCGTCCTGTAGCACCAAGATCAATGCCTGCTCTGTCCATTTCATCAGTATCTAGTTGTCCTTGACCTGGCGGCTGTCCATTTTCTGATGTGCGTTCAGTAACATGACCTACTTTCATTGGGCGTCCAGCCAATTCGAAACCATTTAGTTGATCAAGAGCCTTTTTAGCATCATCTGCATTAGCAAACTGAAATTTCAAGAATTTACAGGTGTTATTTTTTTTTTGATTAAGGAATTTTGCATAATTTGATCCTCTCTTTTGTGCTGATAAAAAACTAGCATTAACTATGTTGTTAATTCGGTAAAAGAGCTTTACACAACAATAAATAAATAAAGGCCTTAACTAAAATAATGAAGGCCGTTTACTTTTAATATTATACTATTTATTACACCTGGCCATAGGTAAATACATTTAAATGACTTTCTCAATAACTATTATTCTCGTCATTCTTATCAATATTTTAATGTGGAATCAATATTTTAATGTGGAATTGAAATATAATAGGTGTTTCTCGACAAAAGTGAACATAATTAATCCATTTTACAGAAAGATGATGAAAATAGCACTGTGCTTATCATTCAGATAAAAAAAAAAAGTTTAGCTATCATCATGTAGACCCTGGCTTTGATATGTACTAGGTCATTAGATAAGATAAACTACATAAATGCCCATAACACCAATGCTCACTATATTTTAAATTTTAATCTTACACTAATGAATCCAAAGCCGAGAGATCGCTGTGTTTCATGATCTCGCATAATCTTTATATCAATAATCTGAAAAGTACAAAAAAAACAGGATTTAAATTATCATCTACCCATTCCAAAACATTAAATAAACACTAATTGTCTTGCAGACTATTATACAAATATTTAGGATGTGTTGGCAGTTTCAATAAAATATTAACTCTTTCCATGCCAGGGTGGCTTTCCATATTTGTGCAAGACCAGTTTTTGGCCAATAGAATTTTTTTTAAAAATGCTCTTATTTCATTTATTAATGAATTTTGAATAGCATTTGCTAAGCAAGATAACTGCATTTCATATCAAATTAAAGTAAATTAGACAGATAATAATAATATGTAAAAGATAAAACAATACTACAATAATACTTTAAATTTTATTGGTAATATTATGAGATTTTTTTTTTTAAAAGGTGCACAAAATCTAACTTATCAGACTAAAACAGTTAGGAACTTCAAAAGATCAGGATGTGTTACAATTTTCCATTTATGAAGACATGAGTGTTGTAACAGGGGGATATTTTTCATCAACACCAGACCTGTTTACCCTTAAACTCTTAAAATCGTACAATATCATCACAAAATCGTTCAATACATTATCTTATTAGTAAAAAAATAAACATACAGTTTATATAATTATACACCTCTAAATAGAAAATTGTACATCAAAATCGTAAGAGTAAACAGGTATGCAAGACTACTTTATTGTAGCAACCACCTCTGTCACCACTATAGTTAACAGTAGCAGCTATGTTTCTTCTTGATGCTATTTTTCCTGTACCTTTTCAGCCTTATCACCAACTTCTCTTTACAGGAACAGGAGTATTATAATCTGAATCCTCACTGTCACCACTGTTATTATCATCACCTCCTCTATTTCCATCTACCAACCCATCAGAAAGCTGAAAATCCTCACTTGAATCAGATTCAAGGTTATTGTCCAATGTTTCAGCATTGATTTGTTACAATAAAACTTCTTGTGCTTGCAAATTTAAACCAATTGGTTACTATTGCTACCAAATGCGACATAGCCCCCTCGCTAGTATTACGACATGACACATAGCAGCATGCATATAACATGTGATACTGTGAAAAGCATTGTTTCTGTGCAAATAGCTTTGGGCCTTTCAAAAAGTAGAAACATAGCTGATTTCGTTTTTTTTTAAAAACAGATGGTTCTACTATTTATGGTTTGAAAGCTGCGTGGTGTGGAAGTTGGGCTACATTTAGTGAATTTGGAAGTGTGTTTTCAGAGAATTGTTTTGCTATGGCGTTTCAGTTTCTCGACTCGATTGCTGCTTCAATGTCTAATTATTCAGTTGTAAATAATTCAGACGAGGACAAATCAGATATTGAGATAGACCAAAATGCTTGACTTAGACTGTGAATTGGAACATACAGATGAAAGTGAAGCTAACGACAGTGATGAAGAAGTCAGATAATTTTACCAGTGTTACTGACAAATTACAGTTGTTTAATGAAATAATAGGTGAAATTCACAACCTTCATATTGACAGCAGTCTACTTCAAACTGTTTGTGACTGATGCCACGTGGAGATGATTGTGGTTGAAATGAACCAAGACATCAAGTGGAAGTGTGTTTCAAATGAGGACTTATAGAAATTCCTTTACATTACATAAATATTATGTCTGGACCTCATAAATTGCCAACTACAAAATTGTACTGGTCTGCTGAAAAGCTGTGGAGGGTACCTACAGTTGCAGATGTGATAAGGCGCACCCGTTTTGAAAAAAATCAGACAGTATTTTCACATCTCCAATAGTGAAAAAACTCCAGCCAAAAACAGTGCAAACTATGATCCCCTGGACAAAGTATGGCCACTATTGGATCATATTAGGAATGCCAAACAGCACATTAACAGCTGTCTGTAGATTTCCAGGATTTTTAGAAAATAAATTAGTAAAATAAAGTCTATAAAACTATACATTTTTTAAAAGCTCATCCAATTTTCTATGTTTTTAATGCATGTATTGTTATTTTAAGTTGATTTTTCGTCGTTTAAATCATTTTTATTTAACATAGGGGTGCATTTTTTTAGAGTGATCTCCCTTTGCTTAGAATTTCAGTTTTTTTTTTGATGTTAGTGGTTAGAAGCGAATGGGTTAACAACCTATGTGGTCTAGCAACACCTGATTTCCTTGTAGTAGGCGTGGCCATTGCTTTATTTCAAAAGTTTCAACACAATTATTAGGAAAACAAATGTAAACACATCTTATTTTAACAGGAAGGAAGCAGGAAGAGTTATAGTTCATTTGAGAACATAAAAAGTAAAATGTCGGATTGATAGCTGCAGGCAACAAAATAAACTAAAATTTTTTATTTTTTGGCACAAGCGCGACTATCGGCATGGAAAAAGTTAAAAGGTGAATAAAAACAAACAATGCTAACCTTTCCAAATGGCTCAAAAATTCCCCGAAGCATATCTTCTGTTATATTAAAATGTAAAGACCCAACATAAAGCCTCATAGGTCCTTCACTGGGCTTTTGTGGAGCAGGAGCTGCAGCAGGTTGAGCCCTATTTTTCTCAGCCTGCGATGGCTGCACTAATATAGGTACACCCAGGAGTTTCTGACCAGACAAACCAATGGCCAAGGGAACAGACTCAGGATCAACAAACTCTACATAGCAGATGCCCTTTGACCTGCGTGTCTTATTGTCTGTAATAAGACGCACATCACGAACCTGTCAAAAAAATTTAATATCATTTTATTTCATAAAAATGCTTTGATCATAGCATTTAAAACACAGGTCTATATTTTATAAGGCAATGATGCACTTGGAAAGCGTAAATTTAATTAATTATTTGATATTTGAAAATGGCTTTTAAAAAAATTTGATAGTTTATGATGAAAATAGAAAGAGAATACATATTTTCATATTGTTTTACAGAAATGCCTTAAATATTGATGAGATAATGAGAAAATAATAAATGAAGACATGTTTAAGCTTTTAAGAATTAAATATTTTTTTTTACTTTGCCAACAGATGAAAAAAACTCTTCCAAGTCTCTGGGTCTAATTCGAGCAGATAACTGCATGCAAAACACTGTTCTAACATCTCTTTCCTCTGGAGTAAGCTCTGGTTCCCTGTAATTTAAAAGATAGAACAGGTAAAAAAACAAACTCCCATATAGTATAAATTACATTATCAGTACTTAAACATAATCAATTTAGGGTAAAGAAATACAAATATTTTTACCTTTGTCTTTCAATTCTGGGCGGATCAACCCTGAAATAAAAGAAACATGTAAGATTAATAAAAAAGAGTTTGTTTGCAAGCAGTTTTACTTAATATAAAAAAATTCTTATACTACAAACAGTGTTTAGGTTGTGGGTTTTTATTTTACACTGGGGAATAAGAATGATTGATTAGGAACATACATTAGAAAACATAAAATACATTGCAAACCCCATAACCAGGGTTCTATAAATAATTACAATTCAAATGAGCCCTAAGAAGGACTATGGCCTGGAAAAATGCTGCATTTTTTGTTCTTCATTCTTTAAAATGGTTTTGTTATACTTAAATAATTCTTAACAGTTTAAAAACAAATATTTTCATTTATCAGCGGGTGTACCTTTTAGGTTCAGTATCAGGTAGACTTTTTCTGGAAGAAAAAAGATATCATGTCACATAATGTTCCTATGAAAATTAAATTTAAATGCAGTTTTATGTATGAATTCATCTGAACAGCTCATCATATACTACCCGAAACATGTGGATGTCAAATAAGTTCCATCATAAAAATTTTTTAAATTCCTGCCATTTTTCTAAAATATTGTAAGAACATAATATAGCCAGATAATGCATGAGCCAGTTCTGGTACTTCTTAACTTTAATTTGTCATGCTACAATTGTAATAAAAAAGTATTTGTACAATAAAAGCTGTTCCCTCCCTCTATAAAGGATAGGAAGTTATATTTCTATTGACCATTTCTTGACTCTAAAATGCACATTTTTTTTTTGCAATCTACTAGCTTTAAATGCTTATCACAGGTTGATTTTCCTATATTTAATTGCATTCCATATTTGTATTTTTACATATAAAAAGATGGGAAAAAAAGTAAATGTTCTACATACAACTGAGTAGAGTTGAGGTAGGTTTTAATTAGATTCTGCAAATAGGGGCAGGCAATTAACCTGAAATGCTTTCATTTAATGAAATTCCGATAATTAAAATTTATTTATTACGCCTTTTGAAATGTCTCAACAAGAACTGATGTAAAAGTAAAGGCTTTAGGTTACGGGGGTGGGAGGTGTGGTGTAAATTAATATTTGTAATATTAACGGTTAACGGTCAACCTCGAACTGTGCCATGCATCATTCTGTAGTGTGGAAGCCTTTCAGAGCTTTTTGAGTGCCTTTTGAAATTGCATTAAATGACAAAGAAATATTGATACAAGACCCCAATAAGTTTATATATTTTAGAAAGGTAACTGGATGGGGATAAAGTTGGCTATATTGCCCACCCTGTAAAAAAAAATTTTGCTCAGTGTCCTTAACCTTGGAGTGTTCAAGAAAAAAAAAAAATCAACAAAATGTCGCGCTTTCAAGTGCTCATAACATGATTAATTTTTATAGATAGACTTAAAACACTAATCTAAATGTTGTAGCGAATTCATTTATCTTTCAAAGATGCATAGTTTGCTAAGGTTTTGATTACAATTAAACCTCCGAAAGCAATTTTAGTAATTATAGGTCAATTATTACTGAAAAAAATAAGAAACAAGGACCACAGCTAAAACCAAGTACAACATACAAAATCTCAGGCAAAATAGTTATTGACTAGTAAATATTTAAAAGGGAACTGTGGAACTGATTTGGGTTGTTTAACTATAAAATTTATTAGTTCTGATCTATAATCTGTAGCTTCTGTGACTAAAATTCAGTCAGTCCTTGCCCAACCTCCGGGCCTGGCTCGAAGTCTAACAGTAGGCCTACTTCAGTATCACTAAGAAAGTATCACTAAGAAAAAGCATCAGATTCACGAGAAGAAGAATCTGAAGTGAGATGCCATGGAGAATGTTAAAATCATTATCAGTATCACTTAAATCCTCTCCTAAAAAGCTTTCAAAAATATTTATGTTAGTTCTCGCACTGAAGGCCCAGCCATGGCTTCATCCATTTTAGCTTAAAAAAAAAAAACAGCAAAATAAAACTCCGATTAAAAAGTACTTGTTAAGTTATCCAGAAACAGCTGGACCCGGAAGTTAATTTAATTATTAATAAAAGGAAGTGGCTATGATTCCAGTCAAATATTGGATTGGAAGTTGCTATCGGACCATGTTTTTAATCGGCCAGTTTTTAATTGGCCGATTTTTTTCGGCCGCCACAGTACAGAACAAGAATATCGGCCGATTTCTTCGACCGACCACAGTTCGAGGGTTAATATTAGTAATAATAAACTACCATTTTATTTGAGAGCTCAATCTTCATTTCTTTAATAATTATGTCTAACTTTATTTTAAAACCTTTTTAACAAACCTGATAGGGCTTTTACTCCGTCTCCTGGAGCCACGTGGAGATCTGCTACGCCTCCTCCTTTCCCGATCCACATCTCGATCCCTGCTACGGCTGCGACGTCGGTCTCGTTGACCCTCTCTACGTTTTTTGTCACGGCTGCGACTTCTAGATCGTTTATCGCGGCTTTTGGACCGTTTATCACGACTTCTTGATCTTCTGTCCCTACTTTTTGATGTTAATTCTTTGCTGCGGGATCTCTTCTCACGACTTCGGGACCTAAGAAAGAAGCATTTGACATTGGGAAATCTCAAACATTTACTCTATTCCTACAGACAGAAAGCCATCTATGAATTAAAAACAATTATTTCAATAGCCTCGACTATCATATCAATTAAAAAAGAAACTACAGGGGAATTGTAACATTAATTTTTTTAAACACATTGTAGGAGTATCTTTAGTTAAAAGTAATGGAAAAAATTGCATTAAAAAACAATTTCACACTTCTGAATAACACACAAAAAATAAATAATGCAGATCTCTTTCGAAAATTTAAATTGTGCTACAATGTGACTAGAAGTGTATGAATTTCCACATGAAAATAAATTGAGGAAGAACAACAAAGATACAAAATGGAAATTTAATAGAGCAAAGCTAATTTTGGAATTCGTAGGTTAGAAGTTAATAATATTGACCCACAAGTGGAACATCAACCACTATAATTTTTGCTACCTTTTGTGGCTTTTACTGCGCTCTTGGCTCTTACTTCTACTTCTTTTTTTTCTGAAAATGAATACAAAAGAAAAAAAATTGATAAGAGCCTATAATTTTGATGCATTTATAAATTTTAGGAACAAAACACACACAAAAATTAACAAACAATATTCTTACAAAGCAAAGCATTTAAAGCTCATTATTTTTCTTTTATCATTAAGTGGATAAAACTTACCAAGGCAGTAATACTGCTTTAAACTGAGTGAAAAAAAAAGTTACAGTGGAACTCAATAATAATAAATGTTTCTTTTAAAGGTCATCCCAATGATTTTCATGTTAAATTAGGTGCATTATAGAGCATTTACAAGAAGTGGGAACACTAGTTTCTTCACTGAAGTCAAAGCCATTTCTGGCTTAATAAATTAAAAGGCAACTGATTTATCCTTTAAATTTAACTCTGTGCGTTCCAATTATAGAGAAATCTGGTGTTTTTGCCATAGTTCTGCTAATTTAAAAAAAAAAATATATATTTGTTTTGAAATAAAATTAATATTATAATAAAAAGGATTTAATTTATAAAAATTAAAGTTTAACATATAATGATCAATTAAAAATTGTTTCTTTTACATCAACACGACCAAGACGAGTTTATGTCATCCATTTTGATCTCGTCTGGACTCAAATCGAGCTAGCTGCTTATAAAATTTTAAAATCCAAAATGAATTTAGAAAACACTGAAATTATGTTGATGAAACCCTAAGGGACTCTTCTGATGAATGGGATACAAAGGAATATGAAACAGCATCAGATGAAGACGTGGATTTTCTTTACCTAAACAAGTAGTTTCAAACAACCTAAGTCCAGTATTTACACGATTAGGCCAATAAAATTAACACTTGTAAATAATCGGAACAATAAAACATATTTTGCGATTAAATAATAGGATCCTAGTTATAGTCTTACAATGAATGTTGTAATGGTAATAATAATTTTATTTTCCAATCACGTTTTGAAATTTAAAAAAATAAAATGTTTGTTTATATAATCAGCTGATCAAACAGCTGATTTTAGTTTTCATTGTTGTTTTTGCCTAACTCTGAGTAAAAAATGGAAGTTATTAATTTATTCTTTTTAAAGCATGTCATTAGGTAGTTTATTTCATATAGCCTTATATTATTAAAAAAAATGTTTTTCTCTAATCCATTGACTTGGACAAAAACATATGAAGATGTTGACCTCATAGTATTATTTATCTCTAAAAGAATACCTGGTCTCAATATTTTGGATTCTCAAAAGCAGACAAGAAAAAAATGAGATGCAAAAACTAAAAACTCCAGGTAAGGAATATTTGATATTATATTTTCAGTGCTATAGGTCTCACATTTAGGATTTTATATGTGATAATTATTTTTTGCAAAAAATGTCACTTTTCTTATCCTAACATCATATAATTATTTATATTATTATAACTGTTACATCTGTGTTAGATCAACAAAATCCTGCTTTTATTTCATGATAACCTGCACTTTACAAATAAACTATTACTTGTCCACAGAAACTTTCTTCAAACTATTTTTCTGTCAGGAGATTGTGTTGAAAATTTTTGACTACACCAATGCCTATGACAAACATATGAGAGAAGAAAAAAAAGTACCTCTACTCTAACCGGAAGAAAATAACACCTACATAACTCTACTTTTTTTTTCTTAACTTATGTACATGAGCCTAATTCCATGTTGCGGTGTTACCGACTCAAAAAGAAAGAGCCCCAGACTGTAATGGAAATTAAATGTTTGAAATGTGATAAACATTTCTGTCTAATTTAAATAATTGTTTATTGTTAAGACATCACCTAACGTTAGAAGACTCTTAAAATGTGTATTTTTTTAGGCCTGATTTAATCATGTAAATGTAAGCTCATTTTATTATTATTATTTTTTTTCTTTTTCATTAAAATTTCATAATTTACAAACAAAATATTTAAATTGGTTGTCATAACGTACCATATTTAAATGTACTTGTATTACTGGGTACATATTAAGTTTTAAATATTAAAAAACAGGTTTTAAACTTTGTATTTGAATAATTCTGCATAATATGGTCACTTGTCTAAATTTAACCGCAAAACACTATTTACTAATAGTTCACAGTTACATTTGTAAAATTCTTTATTTTGTATATTATATTGCAGAATTAAAAACCAATAAATTTTAAACTATTTCTTGTAAAGATTCCCCCCCCCCCCCTTTTCTTACAGGATGTTTGCTTTTTTGCAAAAATATATTTTAAATTAATAGTTCACAGTTACATTTGTAAAATTCTTTATTTTGTATATTATATTGCAGAATTAAAAACCAATAAATTTTAAACTATTTCTTGTAAAGATTCCCCTCCCCCCCCTTTTCTTACAGGATGTTTGCTTGTATGCAAAAATATATGTTAAAATGTAATATCATTTTCCCACTTCAATCATGATTGTATGTAAACTCACATTTTCAAGCACAATTTATAAAATATGAATCTCCATTCATTTCTGAACAATTAAATAATCATGGGTATCAACTAGCTACTCTTTTTGTGGTATCCTATTATTTGAGATGATCTTAAAAATAAAAAACAAAAAACCATTGAACCGCACAGAGTTAAGAGGCAAGTGCCATGAGAAACTTTAGGTAAATTTTTTTTTAAAAAATCAGCACGCTTAGACTTTGGGCTGCTCAAGTGTAAAACAAATTATTTTAACACACATACTGTACTATACGATTTTTCCCCATGCCTAAATTAGCATATGACAGCATTATTTATTAGAGTTCCACTGGAAAACTTTGTAAAAGATTTACTTAAAATTTGTATGAGATTTAAAAAAAACATTCTAAAATACCTGAAAATTTTATTTTTGATGTTAATGTACCAGTCCAACATTTGTTGTACATATTTATTTTGGCATAGAATTGATTTTTCTTTGGCTTTCATTTTGAGAGTATTAGAACCAAAGAACAATAAGGAAAACTTCACAATGCAAAATATGTAATCAGTGAGAAAACTAAGTTTTTGTTTGTTGAATATCTTCTAATATCACTGGATTTTTGTTTCCTGCATTATCAAACTGACATAGAAAACGGAATGCCTGATAGCATTTGGCACAGAGTGTTACTTTCCACTTCATCTTAAAACATTCTGTAACAGTCGTACCGGTCACTTCTTTTGAACTAACTCATTTTTTGTGGGGTTTAAGCGTGCTAGGATAAGACCACATACCTGGCAACACATTCATGTCAGGTTTGCATCTATTTCAAAGTTCTCCATAACAAGATAGGGGCACCTATGCCAACAACAAGAAATCAAATTAGATTTATCAAGTCAATATTTATTAAATTCACGATATAAGTGGCTGCAAAAAGCCTCCTCTCCTTGACCCCAAGAGGTGTGCCTACAAACAAAAACAAATATTTATCGAGGGACAAACGACAACCATTTTCTTTGCAACAACCCAATTAGATTCTAGTGGAGCTTGGTTATCAATTTTCAATTTAAAGTCTTCACCTGAAATGAAAAAATGTAGAAACTTCAGTGAAAGGCTGAAGAGACCCTTTATACTCTGGTGTTCCTCATCGTTACGTGGATGTTGAGACGCAAACGTTATTCAGGCCCTACAACTCCGAAAGTGAATACAAATATCGGAGAAAAATTAAGGATTCACCTACCTTGGGTTATATCATCACTGGAAGTGCCATACATGATTTCATACATTGAGTTACAAAGAAAAAAATAATCACCTAGTAGATGTCTTTCACTACATACGAGCCACAATTTTGTAGTGAAACTGCCTGAATTTAGTTAATACCTGGAGCGCATTTTACTGGCCACCAATAAACTTCTGAATTATTTTTTTCTCCAGCAACAGAAATAACAAACTGACACTTACTTCTTCTCTTTTCTTGAGGATGAAGATTTTTCATTTTTCCCTTCTTCCTGAATATCCGAAAACATCATATGAAGTAATCAGGAACACAGCGCAACAGGGTTTTTTGGGGAGGGGACAGAAAGAAATAACCGAAGAAGTTTGCATTAATATATTTTATATTGTATACTGTTCACTGAAAAACAAACATGTCTTTGTCTCCTTGACAAATGACTGAATGGAGATCAAGATGTGCTTAATGGCTTATTTTTTGTGTAATACTACAAAGTGCTCTCAATAGCTCACTGCTCATGTACATCCTGAAAAGTATTTGGGAAACGAAACTCATAGAGAAGTTATTGTTTCATACCACTGGATTTCAAAAGGGGAAAAACAAATAGATTAGCTAAGTGAAGGGAAAAAATATGATTACACTAGAAGGGGGTGGCCCAGTCCTGAAATATTTGAGATGTTAAAATACAAATTAGGATCTCAACCATTGGAGAGCTTAATTGATAGTGTTCTTCACTAATATAAATACTTATTCTGTAATATAATAACTGCACTGGCAAACAATTATGACTTAAATGTTAGACAAACATTATTTTTAGCTGTCTAAAATATTTTGCCAAAACATTTGTTTGTAAAAAGAATAAAATTTTATATAAACTTTTCAAAATAATTCAATAAATTAAGCATTTTCACCAAATTGTAAAATGACGGAAAAGCTCACTGGTAATACTGGTATATAAACCTTTTGTTTCTTAAATGCACATTAAATTTGCAACTCTCAACAAATTTGAAAGAGTAATCAGTCAAATTCAAGAAATTATAAGTGTTATACAGTATTGTATTATTCAACCAATTTTAATGTTAATTTTTAATGAAAACTCACATTCCTTTAAATAGAAGTTTAACATGAAATGTATGTCATTATCTTTAACAACCCTCTCCCCTTTTCATTTTTATAACTGTTGATCAAAATTAAACCCAGGCAAACAATCGTTTATTGAAACACATTTTCCCATCATGACATACAGTCCTGTAGTTGGTAATTACACATACTGTTTTGAGTGTAACAAAATTTATGAACAATTTATGAAATATAAAAAGAAATAATCCTCAGATTTTTAAACTGTAAAATTATGGGAATGAAAATGATAAAATTGCATTCACAGTAGGACGAGAGAAGAAACTCTGAAATTAAAATTATAAAACACTACATTAACAGCACAAATCTTTGATAAAGAAATTTAAATAATCTGCTATTTAATGATAAAAAAAATATTTCTATAGCATAATTAAAAAAAAAAAAAAAATTGTTAAATATTATCCTGAATAATAGGCTTCAGTAAAAATTAGTGACTAGTTATTTGTAAGAAAAAAAATACTTATTTAAAAAATAATGTATCCCTGGTATTTCATTATAAAGTATTTCAAATTGAACATAAAATAGAAAACTTAAGGTAAAAAACGCGCCACAACATACTTCTTTTCTATATGGCGCTTCCAACATAGCTTCAACATCAAGTTCATCTGCCATAATTTTAGCCTTTGATCAAAAACTTCTGAAATTAATAAAAAATAATATTAAAGGCAGAGATAAAATATTTTGTTCCCCTTAAAATACAAAATCATTGGCCTTACAGATTATTTGAAAAATATTAGATTGACAAATAAGTTATTACAAATGAAATAAACGTGGAGTCTAATGATAATTTCATCAAATACAATTTTTCATTGCCTAAAATGGTTATTTCCCATAAATTATACTTTGGTTAATATTTAAAACCTATTGATTGTGGTCGGAGAACCATACTGTTACCGGTATGCAATTTTTTAAATACAATTTACAATTGGAGCTCTTGTGTTGAAATCGCACATTTATGTCTTCTTAATTTTGACAGTAATCTACCACTTGACCATCAGCTATGAAAAATCCATTTTTTCCAGTTTGAAGTGCTATTTAAACAATAAATGTTTCTACAACAAATATCACAGTATTAGATAGATAGTAGAGAGAGGGTCACTGGGTTTTTTGTGGCGTAGAAAGAGAGAGTAGGAGCTGCTATATCCTTGAAGTGCCAGATCGACATATGATCACGTTAGAAGAGTGTATAGAAAGATATATACTTCCAGGCTGACACTCACTAATTGTATCAGACAGGTGGGCGGCTTATACCAATATCAACCAAATCAGAAATGAGATACATGAACACTCCCTTGTAGTGCATCACAAAAATTTTGTTGATCCAAATTGTTTAAATTCCTTTTTTCTATAAAAAAAAAACAAGTGAGAGGTTGGGTTTCTTAAAAAATAGTTAAAATATTATTTTGTGTTTGTAAGACAAAATTTGGTATCAAATGAAAGATAATTGAATGGACTATATCACTATGTTTGTAAACTTACTTCTTCAGTTTCAGTAAAATAAACTACCACAAATGACATCCGAATAGCCATTTAGTCTTAAGAAGGCACCCGGGTCCGAATAGCCGCAGCCTTAAAAAAATTTGCGTTGGATTATTTGTATTATATATCATACGTGCTGAAATGAATATGTAAAATGTCACAAAAAACTATTTTTTAAAATAGCACTTGAAGCCGGAACAACTGGATTTTTTTCATAGCTGACGCTCAAGTGTACCATTTTAACCATAAGCCATACATTTTTTAAAACTAGATACTTCGATAAGGCATGGGAGACTACTTCAAAATTTGTATCGGAAATAGGCGTCGACGCTGTAGAATTAGACTTTTTAATTTTTTAATGTGAGTGTCAATTTATTATTAAATAAGTCCTTTAGACACATAATTGAGTTCCGCTTCCGCCCTTTTCTCTTTGGAACACATCTTGGCCTACATTTCCATCCAGCTATTTTGCTTTTTCAATCGACCTTTATTTTGAAAATCTTTGGTATATATAAGGCATCTTCACATACAAAATGTTTTGTGAAATAAAAAGAAAAGGTCTTTCATATTAAAAAGTGAAACTCATTAGATATTGAACTTTATGTGTGGCAATTCTCATTGATGTAAGTCGTGTCCCACGTTCGTTATGCTGTCCCCGTGACCAACATTACCATAGGGTCGCTCAGCCTAATTTCGACATGGCATGGGCCCTTTTTAATGGCGAAAGTTGCAGATACTTAGGAAATATTTAATTATTACCACTATTTACATCAAAATATTTGATAACTTGTGTTTCAGAATGCATTTTGAAGACATTTAAACTGGAATGTTTTAATTTGAGCTTTAAAAACCCGGTGAAGTCCATTAAATGATCAGAATTTTCCGTGTGCAACACTATGTCATTGGCAACCATTCACAGCTACTTGCTCAATGGTTGTATTGTAGTAGTACCTCAGAGTTTCAATCATAAGAGTTTGCTGTGTGCAAAAACTATTGAACCATTGGTCAGGGAAAGCTTTAATTATTATTCATGTGCCAAAGTTGAAAGTTTAAAATAAGTGGACCTAAACAGTATTTTAATGATAAGGGGATGCGTTGCCTTATATAAACTATCTCTAGTTTTACAAAATAATTATGTACCAAAACTACGTCACACGCTTGGTAGCAGTCAAAGGCGATGGCGGGTGAAGTTGTCGCTACGGCGACAAGTCTAAATATTACTGTTGACGCAGCCAGCTGGTTCACTGTGATCCCATCAATACGATACGTCAGGGTTATTTATTTATATCCTTTGACACTCCCACCAATCCCCTACCCATGCGTGTCTCGTATGCCACAATTTCCGTCATCAACAACCCCACCTCCCCAGTCCCCATGAGAGCTTTCAAAATATAATAAGGATGGTCCCAACTTTAAAAAAAAAAAAAAAATCCAACCAATCATTTTTCTCGTTCATATTCACTGCCAGATCTTCATTAGAGAGGGCTAAAACGTCCAAACCCGAAAATTTATTAATTTTTTTAAATCGGGGGAAATTTTTTTCCACCGGGTCTCTGAAAATCGTAGTTTTGGAGGGTCTTGGCGTACAATCGTAAAAGACATCTAAAAATCGTACATTGTACGCCAAAATCGTAAGAGTAAACAGGTCTGGATCCGGTGAGTCACAAAATCTGGCAAATTCCGAAATCCGGTATATTCCGGATACATGTAAATCCGGCGGAACCGGATTTCACCGGACAGTGCAAAATCCGGCGGAACCGGATTCCGGCACACCCCTATTTATAATATAGACTCTACAGGGTTTTTAAAGCTCAAATTGAAACATTCCAGTTTAAATATCTTCAAAATGCATTCTGAAACACAAAATATAAAATGTATATATTGGTAATAATTAAATATTTCCTAAGTATCTGCAACTTCCCCCATTAAAAAGGGGGCGTGGCCCACGCCATTCGAAATTAGGCTGAGCCACCTTATGGTGATATGGGTCACTGTGACAAGCGTAACAAACGTGAGACACGACCTACATCAATGAAACTTGGCACAGATATAGATCAATACCAAATGCTCATACAGATTTAATCAAAAAAGGGCCTTATCTTATTATTTCACAAAAAATTTTGTATGCGAAGATGCCTTATATATATACCTAAGATTTTCAAAATAAAGGTCGATTGAAAAAAGCAAAATAGCTGGCTAGAAATGTAGGCCAAGATGTCTTCCAAATTATAAGGCCGGAAACGGAACTCGAATATATGTAGAAAGAACTAATTTAATAATAAATAGACACACACATTGGAAAATTAAAAACTCTGATTTTTCGTCTCAGACGCACATTTCCGATACAAAAAAAATAGTAGTCTCCCTTGTTTCATCGAAGTATCTACTATAGGCATAGGCAACCTATCCTGAACCCTAATTTAATAATCGCTCCCTATGCCTAACCTGAACCCTAAATCGATCCCTATGCCTAACCTGAACCCTAATTCATTGCAACTATAATAAACACGGAAATGACGTCATGGGATGATCTCTCAGAATTAGTATAATGTTCAGAGATTTTTGTGATATTATTTTTGGGGGGACCTGTGTAGGTCAATATCTAGATACTTTGGTCAAAAATTTAAACATTCTGTAAAAATAAACCAATGGCATAGTTGAATAGAGCTAAATTTTTACAGAATTATAACACCAAAATTATATTTTTAGCTGCTGTAGTTTTAAAGTTATGAATTTTTAAAGTACGACTTGGTTTGTCCTTTTTTAACATGGACTGCATCTCCACTTTCTGTGACCTCATTCCGCCGATCGTGACATGCGCAATAACTATATAGTTTATATAAGGCTAAGGCATTCCCTTATCACTAAAATACTGTTTTGGGTTGACTTATTTTAAACTTTCAACTTTGGCACATGAATAATTAATTAAAGCTTTCCCTGACCAATGGTTTAATAGTTTTTGCACACGGCAAACTCTTATGAATGAAACTCTGAGATAGTACTACGATATAGCCATTATGCAAGTGGCTGTGAATGGTTGCCAATGACAATGTGTTGCACACGGAAATTTCTGATCATTTATAATATGGACTCTACAAGGTTTTTAAAGCTCAAATTAAAACATTCCAGTTTAAATGTCTTCAAAATGCATTCTGAAACACAAGTTATCAAATATTTTGATGTATATAGTGGTAATAATTAAATATTTCTTAAGTATCGACAACTTCCGCCATTAAAAAGGGGGCGTGGCCCACGCCATGTTGAAATAAGGCTGAGCCCCTTTATGCTGATATGGGTCACTGGGAGAAGCGTAGCGAACGTGGGACACGACCTGCATCAATGAGAATTGGCACAGATATAGATCAATATCTAATGCCTTACACGATTTAATATGAAAGACATGTTCCTTTTATTTCACAAAAAATTTTGTATTCGAAGATGCCTTATATATACCAAAGATTTTCAAAATGAAGCTCGATTGAAAAAAGCAAAATAGCTGGATGGAAATGTAGGCCAAGATGTCTTCCAAATTATAAGGCCGGAAACGGAACTCAAATATATGTCGAAAGAACTAATTTAATAATAAATAGACACACACATCGGAAAATTAAAAACTCGGATTTTTCTGCGCCGACGCCTATTTCCGATACAAAAAAAGTAGTAGTCTCCCTTCTTTCATCGAAGTATCTATAATAAGATAAGGTCCTTTTTTATTAAATCTGTATGAGCATTAGATATTGATCTATATCTGTGCCAAGTTTCATTGATGTAGGTCGTGTCCCACGTTGTTACACTTGTCACAGTGACCCTTATCACCATAAGGTGGCTCAGCCTAATTTCGTCATGGCTTGGGCCACGCCCCCTTTTTAATGGCGGAAGTTGCCGATACTTAGGAAATATTTAATTATTACCACTATATACATCAAAATATTTTATATTTTGTGTTTCAGAATGCATTTTGAAGACATTTAAACTGGAAATGTTTTAATTTGAGCTTTAAAAACCCTGTAGAGTCCATAATATAAATGATCAGAAATATCCCTGTGCAACACATTGTCATTGGCAACCATTCACAGCCACTTGCATAACGGCTACGTTGTAGTACTATCTCAGAGTTTCATTCATAAGAGTGGTAAATGATGAGAGTGGTACCCGGGGTTTCCCAAGCATGGCCGCCATCTTTGTTGACATGATCCGTGTGAAGGTCACGGATCATGTCAACCAAGATGGCGGCCGACCCAAAAAAAAAAGTAGTGCAAAGACACGTATTGTACAAAAAGGGAACGGTTGGGGAGAATGCGTTTTATCAAAAAACTTACCGAAAGATCGAAAATAAGCAATATTACAAGAAAATTTAATTTTCAAGATAGGAAAACACACAAATATATAGTAATCTGTGAAAAATATTTTAAAGAAAATGTAAAATGTAAAGAAATGGAAGAAAAAAATTTTTTCGGAAAAAAATAAAAAATCAACGAAAAATTTGGTTTTGTAATTTTAAAAAAATTGTAAAAAACTATTAAATTTTGAAATTTAAGAAAAATGATTTTTAAAAAAATTTGTAAAAAACGAGTAAAATTTGAATTTTTTTTTTGTTGAAATTTTTGAAAAATGAGCAAAAATTTGATGGCGCAAATCCCTAACCTGGATCCTAAACCCTAAACCTAAACCTGACCCTAACCCTAAACCTGACCCTAACCATAAACCTGACCCTAAACCTAACCCTGACCCTAAACCTAACCCTAAACCTAACCCTGACCCTAAACCTAACCCTAACCCTGACCCTAAACCTAACAATAAACCCTAAACCCTAACCTTAACCCTAAAATTCAGAAATGCATGGTAATGGACGATTTTAAAAAGCTACAAAAAACAATGAAATTTTCAAATGATAATTCGTTATTTTACTCACTCTTTACGAAGCAAGATCTCGTAAATGGGGCGGATACACAATTTTTATGACATTTAAAAATTCCCTCATTTGATCTTTAGTGCCACACGAGCGTCGCCACATATATTCATATAGATATGAGTCGAACTGCTCCTCCCCATGACAATTTTGGATATTTTGAACTTACCGCCGGACACCGGAGCACAATAAGACGACAGTGACGTAATATTTAATCACACCTTTCTAGATCCGCATGATTTTCAAGTACCATATACGAAAATTAATTTCTCTATTTTTCATCAATATTTCTAACATTCTGACAATTCCACACTCTCTGCATGAATTCCAAAAACATAAAATTTCAGTTTTAAAACCACAAAATTTAACTTTTCTTTAAATCTTCGTTAATTATTCACACGAAATCTTGTTCCAACCGGTTATTAAAATATTCCTTCGCCGTCACCACTTCCGACACTTCAATAAAATTAACAACAATATCAACAAAGGGGAATGACTCCTGCCTTTCCTTGCACAAATTTTAAATAAATATGCAAATGACGTCATGGGTAATAATAACATAATTAGCCATAAGAGTTTGCCGTGTGCAAAAACTATTAAACCATTGGTCAGGGAAAGCTTTTATTAATTATTCATGTGCCAAAGTTGAAAGTTAAAAATAAGTCAACCCTAAACAGTATTTTAGTGATAAGGGAATGCATTGCCTTATATTAGATACTTTGATGAAACAAGGGAGACTACTATTTTTTTTGTATCGGAAATGGGCGTCGGCGCCGAAAAATCCGAGTTTTTAATTTTCCGATGTGTGTGTCTATTTATTATTAAATTAGTTCTTTCCACATAGATTTGAGTTCCGTTTCCGGCCTTATAATTTGGAAGACATCTTGGCCTACATTTCTAGCCAGCTATTTTGCTTTTTTCAATCGACCTTTATTTTGAAAATCTTTGGTATATATAAGGCATCTTCGCATACAAAATTTTTTGTGAAATAATAAGATAAGGTCCTTTTTGATTAAATCTGTATGAGCATTAGATATTGATCTATATCTGTGCCAAGTTTCATTGATGTAGGTCGTGTCTCACGTTTGTTACACTTGTCACAGTGACCCATATCACCATAAAGTGGCTCAGCCTAATTTCGCCATGGCGTGGGCCACGCCCCCTTTTTAATGGCGGAAGTTGCCGATACTTAGGAAATATTTAATTATTACCACTATATACATCAAAATATTTTATATTTTGTGTTTCAGAATGCATTTTGAAGACATTTAAACTGGAAATGTTTTAATTTGAGCTTTAAAAACCCTGTAGAGTCCATATTATAAATGATCAGAAATTTCCCTGTGCAACACGTTGTCATTGGCAACCATTCACAGCCACTTGCATAACGGCTACGTCGTAGTACTATCTCAGAGTTTCATTCATAAGAGTTTGCCGTGTGCAAAAGCTATTAAACCATTGGTCAGGGAAAGCTTTTATTAATTATTCATGTGCCAAAGTTGAAAGTTTAAAATAAGTCGACCCTAAACAGTATTTTAGTGATAAGGGAATGCATTGCCTTATATAAACTATATAGTCATTGCGCATGACGCGATCAGTGGAATGAGGTCACAGAATGTGGAGATGCAGTCTATGTTAAAAAATGACAAACCAAGTCGTACTTTAAAAATTCATAACTTTAAAACTACAACAGCTAAAAATATGATTTTGGTGTTATAATTATGTTTAAAATTAGCTCTATTCAACTGTGCCATTGGTTTATTTTTAAAAAATGTTTACATTTTTGACAAAAGTATCTACCTTATATAAACTATATAGTCATTGCGCATGACGCGATCAGCGGAATGAGGTCACAGAATGTGGAGATGCAGTCTGTTAAAAAAGGACAAACCAAGTCATACTTTAAAAATTCATAACTTTAAAACTACAACAGCTAAAAATATGATTTTGGTGTTATAATTATGTTTAAAATTAGCTCTATTCAACTGTGCCATTGGTTTAAAGTTTATTTCTAAAAAATGTTTACATTTTTGACCAAAGTATCTAATATTAATGTTTACTAGGTTTAGTTAAATTTATTATCTCGTATTGCTCTTACTCTTTGTTGTCTTAGTGAACTTATATAGTCTTTGTTAGTAAGACTCTTTTATCTTTTAATCTTCTTGATTCTTGTCTAGAGCCGCGTCTAGTGAGTTAGTACTTACTACTAATAGAAATACTAAGACATAGTATTCATAGTAGTAATTTAATAGTAGTTGTAGTCGTCTGATTTAGTATCTAATAGTAGTGAGGTTTAGTATAAGTAGAGAATGCTCAATTTCACTTGTTAATTTTGAGGAGATAAAATCATTAAGATTTAAATTTTCACACCTGCAATTAAAATATGTTTACACTCTTGGTTTAGACTTCCTATCCAATTTATGTAGGTACCAAGATGGCGTAAGAAACGTCTTCAGGATTTGACTTCCGTTTATTTCATATAGCCAGATTTTTCCATGCAAAGAATTGATTTTTAATGGACCACCTCACTTTAAAATAATAATAATAAAAAAGTAGCAACCACCACAAACATCAACAAAGCTACACATTTTACCAAATGAAAAAAGAAGGAAAATAATTTTTTTCAAACAGAAAATTGACCTTACAATATTAATATAGTTATTAAAGTTTTTAAAGATCGTGTCAGCTTACTGTGACAGTTCATTCATTAATACTAAAATAGCATTTTATGTTTCAATATGATCATATTTTGTAAAGCTTTGAAACGATAACCACTATTTCCTAGGATTGAATTGTTTCTTTGACGAGATTGTTAGTTATTATCAAAATTGAGCGGTTCCTATTTATAACTGATCCATATTTTCCTTTACACCACTACTTGATGTTTTGTTTACCAGAGTCTAAAATTCTGGCTATACATGTGTTGCACAGCAAAATGGCGACTTGTATGCCTTTTTAAGCGAACTTTGTTAGTTTAAAAATTATTGCTCTAAGTGAAAGATGAATTAAGTGCTGCAACTCGAAAAATGGCAAACGAATACACGGTATATACGTAGTTAAATGACTTTTAATGGCATAACTGGTACATTTAATTTTTTAAAGCTTGTTTAACTTTTCTTCAACTTAGGCTACCTGACCACCAACTTTTTCCCCCAAATAGAAAAAATGATGATTAAAAAAGCAATACCAAGGAAAACTCGACTGAGAATAGTGAGATTGTCAACAATAATTTGGCTGATAATAATAAAAATATTATTAGGCCTACTACTCTTATGATTATTATTGTACTTGCATTGAGCCACCGCCTTATTATCTCAGAAATCAAATACAGAGCATGGGCATGTGGGTATATTGGTATATTATAATTATTAAATATATTACCTAGACCTGAGCATGGGTCATATTCATTATGAATTCATGATGATTCATAGTCATAGTGTTTAGATTATTATTATTAATTAAAAGTTCTCTTTGGTCTACCTTCTCTTTAACAATTGTATGCAATCATAAATAAATTCTTACCTATTTTTATCTAGCATTGAAGTAGGCATTATGTCATTATATTATATTATTTATATTATTATTATCACTGTAATTGTAATAAGGCAACACGTCCCCCTAAAAAATATTTACTGGTTGGGGAATACTTATTTTGAACTGTAAACTTTTGCCATGACTAATTAAAGCTTTCACTTTTGCACACAACAGTCTCTTATGAACTAGTGACTGTGAATGGTTGAGTTGAGCATTAATTATTCTGAGTTTCCTTCATAACTTTGAACTCTGAAGGCTTGTATGATGCGTATGCAAACAAAAACCAGTAGTTAGTGAATTTAGGCACTTTGATGCGCACGCGGACTGCGCAAGTCCAAAAATGTCGAAAAAACTTGTTCTACAATATGGTGTACGGCTACACTGTATCTTTGGAAAATTGTGTACTATGTCACCTTTGTTCATTAAAAAATTGCTTTCCTCATTAGTGGCGTATCAGTTTCTGTGTTCTGGTGATTCTATGAAATTTATGCTACGAGTTTTTTTTTTATGTGTGACTGACAGGATCATCATAACCATTCGGTAAGTTAATCACATAATACTTTTTTGTTACTTATCCCACAAGAAAACGGTGTGGTTCTTTAGAAACTACATTCATTCGTGAGTATTAACATATATAAATTATTACAATCAATTAAACGAAAAGTTATGCCTCCCTTTAAAGTGGGGGGTGGGGTGTATGAAAATGTTGCAGAATCAAAAGTTAATTTTATTCGATCGAGTTGCCGGAATTGGCTATTATTACTGTCAATTATGAAGTGATTCTTTTTTTGTTGAATCCCTAATCATCTGAATAATTCTAATACGTTTCAAATAAATAATTTTTGAAACATTAAAAAAGGATTATAACCAAACTTGAAAAGTTTTGGGTAGGGTCTATGGGTTGCTTTTTAGTTTGATAGCGTTAAATAATTTTGTTCACCAGGTACCAAATTTATCAGTTGTACCGTTTTTTATTATTGAACTAATAATTAATTGTTTAATTTAATAACAGTAATAGCAATAATAATAATTGTTATTATCTTATAAATTACTACTCATATGGGAGAATATTGCTAAAATTAGGCCTAAGTACAATAACAGTTAAGTCTATTTAGGCCTAAGCCAAATATTTAATATGCACTTGCAGTTGCAGGTCTAATTAAAGTTAGCAATTTTTAATTTAATAAAGTAATTAATTATAAATATTAAATTATTGTAAAGTCAATTTAACATTTTTAATACTTCAGCATCATCAAAGTGATTATATTTTTATAAGGACATAGAAAAGCAGTTTACATAGACTATAATTTAATATATCAAATAACATTAAATTAAATATTTGAAGAAAAAAAATATTATTAAAAAGAAACAAGAAATTGTGAAGATTCAGGATTATGATTAGATTTTATTTCTAGGCTTCTTTCAGGTACAAGGGAAAATGTTAATTTTCTATTAAAGGTCTTTGTGGAATTTCTTTCAATTCCGTCAACTATAAGGCATAAATGGATGAGTATGACAAAGACAAAGTTTATGAGGGAGAGATTTTGTGAGGAGTTCCCTCACTGTGTGATCCACCGAGATCATCACTGGAACCATAAAGGCTAAGTCAATAAAGATTGAGCATAGAACTTGAGCAATAAAGCATTAATAATGATGATACCGTCTGTATGTTAGGGACCATTGTTTTGCATTGATATACTTTTCTAATAGGATGAAATCCATTCGATGTATATATATTAATCACCGAGAGTGTATTACGGAAAAATTTGTATGTATCATTATTCAATAAATACTTATAGTTATTTTCTCATGTAAGAAAGACTTCGATTCAGTCTATACTATATGTGTATAGATAGGTTGTTATGTCTATGTGGTAATTTGGCTTAAGCAACGAATCCCTAGACAGAGTGCCAAGAGGAGATCTCATACGAGAGATACCCCTCATTAATAAGTCATAAGTCAGATCACCACAACCCCGCATTAGACTACTAGCAGACGGTAACGTTTGTTGTGGGGGTGGTTAAATCTCTTTGATGTATCTTGTTTACAACCCTGTTTACCAATTAAACATGTTTAGACTGTCTCCTGGTATCTTGTCGAATGTTCGCGATAACCCAAGAAATGTAAACAACACGTATTAAGTCTTTTCTGGAAGTGTCTTACGCTACATGTATATAAGGGAGTGACAGATACGGAGAGACAAAGATTCAGATAGATAGTTTTAACTTCAGGAGACCTGAGATAGTTTTAACTTCAGGAGACCTGTATTATTCTTTGTGTATTTATATGTGTTTATTCATTATTCGCATTCTTCATTCATCAATATTCATTGACACATTGTACTGCGTTAACTGTGTACCGGTACAAGATTTACCATTTTGTAAGGTGATGATTGTCATTATCTTTTCTTTTGTAATTATATTAAGACGTAAATAAATCTTATTAATTGAAACTAGCAACTGTTTTGGGTGTCGTATCTTTACTATTGTTGACTCTATGGTATTGTCCTTTGTTAGGCACTGTTTACAACAAGCCAATAAAATTAAAATAGGAGATTAATTTCTTACAAGAGAAGCCAGTGCGTAACAAGTCTAAGTAGAAAATGACAGGCAGAACATCCCCATTCCTTTTAAATTTAATCACCTACAGTTCACCTACTCGGTATGCTTATTTATTAGTCTTATGGTGGGCGATTTGAGTAGTTTATATAATTTCATGCATTTAATTTTGTATTAAAAAAGACTTATACTTAATTTTATAAATATGAGAATTTATTTGCAATATAACTGAATTATATATTTAGTTAAAATACAATAAACATGTTATTTTTTTTGTTTTTGCCTTTAAAAATAATAATTTGTCCCATTTTTCTGGACATGATAATTTTTAACAAATCTGGAAAGAAAATGATACAAAATAAAAGGTATAGATGTAATGTAGGAGTTATGTTGTTCTTTGTGTTGGATATTTGATTGGGAATGTCTCCTGAAAATTTGGTGCTGCAATTCGAATTATTTTAAAAATAAAAATGTTGTGGACAAGGTAAAGCAGAAATTTGAAATTTGGGTCATATGTTTTGGGGATATAGTTTATATAAGGGGCATAAAAAATTAGACCAACAAAATCTAAAAGATAGAAAGATGAAAATTGTGTTTTTATAACGCTTTAAAATAATGTATCAATCATGGCAATCAATGTTTAAAATTTGTGTCAAAGTACCTAAACCAGTGGTTAATTATTCATGAGCAAAAGTTGATAGTCTGAAATAAGTAGTCCTTGTACAGTATAGCTTCCACGGGACACATTGCTGTTTACTGACTATGTTTAATGGATGCCGCCTTTAGACTTAGTAAACAGAATAGCCAAATTATAAATGCAAGGGAGACTTGTATTAAACTAGTATCAGAAATGGGAGATGGCACAGAGAAATCCGAGTTTTTAATTTTTGTACTATATGTTTTAATTTTTAATAGGCCTACAGTCCTAGTACAATAACAAATCTAAATGCCACAGATAACTGCTTCAACAATACCTAGATAAATGAGCACATTCATCATTTCATTGATGGACACAGTAACGTTAAATTGGTTTTTATGACAACACTACACTAAAATTTTAAAAATAAAATTAGCCATTTAATCATATTACATTTGTTAACAATATGATTGAGATATAATAATAATAATAATAATAATAAGTGGTCTTATATAGCGCGGTACCCCGGCCTAGGGCTGGGCTCACCGCGCTGTACATATATAGCAAAGAAGCATAGTCATAATATTAAAATAAAATACATATAAAGTCTATGCTTAGCTAATATAAAACAAAAAGTATAAATAAGCTGAAAATTTGAGGGCTTGATCTTAATACAAAAAAATATTTTTGGGGATCAAATACTAAGGATATAATAGGGCACTAAAAATGAATTAACTTCCTTCTGTTTAACATAGAGTCGTGTAATATGGTTTTGCCAGTACTACTTATAGCATGATATACTAAAAGACATAGGTACCTAACAATAACAGACTCTGAGTGAGTCCACCCTTAAGTTTCAAGGCAAAATAATATTTTCTATGATTCTAATTTTTTCATTCAGTCACAATCCAAATAAATTAAGGGGAGTGTTTTGACAGAAGTTGTCTCAACTTAAGCACATTAATATCACCATGTGATGTTTTCAGCAGCTGCTGTCAGATGACTTATGTTTTTGTTTAGTCTTCCTTTCTTCTCACTTAATTCAAGTGCGAAAGGCATTGCCCTGATCCTGGCCAAAAGCAAGCAATATCAATATTGATCATTGTAATGTTTTGATATAGCAAAGTGGAAGCAAGAGTGGGTTTCCTCCACCTTAATAAATTTAATAATAAGGCTTAACTGTTCAGTTTCAATAGGTGTAACTTTTAATTGATTATTTAAAAAATCCATTTTCAGAGCTCTCTTAAATCATGTAAAGGCCTCAGTTTTATTAACTGGGATGAGCTCAGTGAAGAAGAATTTATGAAGTTAGACAAAATCATTAATGCTACACAAGTTAGTTCTGGTGTGCAGGTAAGCAAATTTTGAAATGCATTAAATTAATTTCCTGTTTTAACTATGGGCCCAGACAACGAGAAGAGATAGCAAATCAATGTTTTTCAGTCTCATTGGATTAGAGCTATTAAAATATTTATTCAGACGCACAAATCAACTGCTTAAATTTTTCAGAGCCTATTTTTAGATTACTCACTGTTCTTGAGATCATCAAGGTTTCCTTGAGAATTTAAAAATAATATACGAGGGACTGCATTTAAGCCATGAGAGGTAAATAATTAGTAAAACAAGATATGTTTAGGCTTGCAAAGAAAAGACAGGATAATTAAACGGACAGTAACATTATTGAGATTTTTTGATGACATAAGTTTTTATTTCTATATTTAATTTAAAGTATCTGTTGTTTCTTGTTTTGTATTGTTTGATGAAGAATGCATCCTCCAAAAACATCTGTTTAATTTTCCTGTCTTGTCTTTTCAGGCCAAAACATATCTTGTTCCACTATTTATTTAAGGTTCTTTGAGTAAAGCACACATTTAAAAAAGGGCACTTTTCTTTTATAATTGCTTCTATATTTCGATGTTATTTCTTTCAGTTTCCATTTCCTTCAGACTGTGACAAAGCTTCAGGTAATTATCTTATCCAATCAATTATAAAATATTTTACAAACTTTATAGAATATCCTGTATTAGTACTTTAATGTGTATTGGAAGTCCCCAAAGTATTCCTGTAATCTCCTTAACAGTACAATTTAATTTTTCAATGAAATCAAAATTTCCAATAATGTAAATAATATGAAACTGATTTAGATTTATAAACTTATAATGGTAATCTGAGCTTTTAGAATGAACATGCACAAAAGCAAGTATTATATCTTCAGCCACATTCAATTATCAATTCAGGTTTGTCAGTTTTATTTTGGTGGATATTTGATGTCTCCTGAATTATTTTATCTCTTTAGGTGTTGACTGACTACCTCTGTCCTAATCTACCTTAATTAACACCCCCCCCCCCCCCCCCCGCCCTATTTTAGCTTACTCAATCCTCTAAGTAAAAATATCTAATGTTTTTGTGGAAGGGGGGTGTGTAAAAGTTTGTTTGACTTTGTTTTGAAGATCCATTGCTTTTTTTAAAATAATAGATTTTACCAACCTTCAGTGACTTGTAAGATCTTGAAATCATCTTTTTTGAAATTAACTAATTAATTATTGATTTTTTTTTCCGTTCATAAAGGGGAGTTTAAAAAATGAATAGTGAATAGTTTAATTTCAATTGAAACTTTCAATCTGATAACGTAAGGCTTTATTTATTTAATGAGAAAGGTTTTCCCACTTTTTGTCTATAGATTGTATAAATACTTGATTTTTGTGTGTTGACATTTATCTTTTCTATTTAGCAATAAACTTCTATTGAGATTTCTGCCTTGTAGTAGTACTTTAAACTGATAACGCTTTCAGCATACTAATGTCTATGATACTCAACTCCTTGGAGATTTGATTTACTATGGTCTTAAATCTTCAGAAAGCTACTTTCTACTCCATGGCCATGGTTATAATTGAATAACTTGCTTTTTTTTCTCTTCACAACTTCAGAAAAGATTCAACATGTCCCAGTTTTCCAGCCAGCTATCCCACCTCCTTCTATTGTGGGTTTTTCCATCCCAGTACATCACTGGGCTCAAGGGGATCCAAATTTAGTTCATTCCCCAGGACCTCATTATCCAATTGCAGTTCAGGGCCCATACATGTTTTCAAATTCACCCTTGGCTGTCACAGATGGCTCTATGACATTTGTTCCTGCGCTAAACACTGGTCAACCTTTATATGCCATACCGGCTGTTACTGGTCACCCAATGCCAGCTCATTATCCAACTGGCCCACCCCCTCAGTCTGAGCCTGTTGACTTGTCTGTACCCGTGACTTGCCAAGGGGGTGTTGCTTCTTCACTTCCGCAGTTAACTAATTCTGGCAATGTTCTATTGACACATTCTCCCACACATCCAGTGATTATCACCCAGATGAATGTAAGCATTGCAGCTGATGCTCCACACAGGGTGTCTTCTGCCTCCATGTCAAACACAGGGATTTCTCATCCACATGCTACACAGGTGCTTTATATTGCACAACAAAATCTTTTGCCCACACACATAAATAGTAACCCACTTGAACATACTCACACAGATTCCTTGCCTGGCATTGTTGCAGAGCCTCGACCTGTTAAAAGGACATCCTCCATAGAGTTTGGTGGACCTGTTGTGTTTAGTAGTCACTTTGAGCTCAATCAAGCTGAGCAAAATAATAATAAGGCATTCATTCAACATCAAACTGCAAAAAATGAGGTTGTGATAGACATGGAACAATTGGATCTTTCCAATGGAAGCGTTGGTCAAGAGCAAGAGGTTGTTGAAACTCCGGATCAGGGAATTGGCTCCAACTCATCCTACTCTTCATCGCCACCCGCAGCTGTACATTCACTCCTTTCAGACCCTTTAGCTTTTACAGAGTCTTCATCCCACTCTCATATTAACTGCCAACAGGAGTCGCAAGCAAATGATAGGTCTCCAGAAAGCTCAGTCTTTAACAGACAGTTAGAGTTGGACACGAAGCACACACCAGTGCAACCAATTAAGATGTGGAGCAGTTTATTTGGAGATAAGAAACGCAATGGAACAGTCAACAATGCTGATATCTCCAGATCATTAGAAAATACTGGTATACCAAATGTTATAATAAAAGATGAGGTGAAAAGCATAAGGTACTGGCAAGAAAAGGAGAAGTCAGAAGCCAAAATGGTGAGCTTTCCTACAGAAAAGGTTGTCTCTGTTGGTCCCCAGAATGATCCGCTGGCACCAAAAATTCTGGGTACGTTTTTTTAATGAAGTGCATGGGGTTTAATTTAATTTGCTCTTTAGTTTTAAAAAAAAAACATTTAGGAAAATGTTATCTCATAAATAATGCAAACACTAAGATAATGAGAGGATAAAATTAATTTCCCATTTTTTAAAATTCTCTTAGAGCACCTGCACTCATTGTCCATTGTTCATACCCCTATTGTGATACAGCCAAGAGGCCTAGTGAATGGTAGCAATATATGTTTCATGAATGCTGTAAGTATAAAGTATTATAAGTGTTTATGCATTTGAGTGTAATTTTTAGTGAAAAGTTCTATTTATGTAATGGTATAGCTCCTTAAATTGTTTCTCCGCTTACCATTTATATTTTCAAATGTGTCATTTCATTCTTATTGGTTGAACAATGCATCCATTAATAATAGGATAAAGTAGAAAAAGTACCTAAGTGCATTTTGACTTCGTGCTCATGTGGCTTTTTTTCCTAATTTTGCATTTTGCAAATCTCATTTTAGACTCTACAGGTGCTTATGGGCTGCCCCCCTTTCATCCATTTGTTTAGAGCTTTCAAAGATTTACCCAGTCGTCCAGGCAGCTACTCTTCTACACCAATTTTTGACTCACTGTGAGTATGTTATAGATTACAACAAAATAGACACTTTTTGGTTAAAAATTTAATTTGCTTAGAAGGTTTTTAAAGTAGAATTATCAGTGTTAGCTATAAAAGAAATTACTTTTATTTTGTTATTTGTCTTTTTAGGGTTCTATTCGTCAACTCATTCCAAAATGGCCAGAGAGTCCGAAGTCATGGTAAGGCTCTTCCATTACCTAATTTTACTTTAATACCATGTAAGATATTTTTAGAGTCCAGTGTGCATCTTTGTATATGAACATTTATTATTAGTTATTCTTTTTTTCTTTTTTATCTCTCGGGTATCTTATTCAAGAAATACTTTGAAAATAATTGAGCCACTAAAAAAAATATGAACTTTTTTTTTTGGCAAAAGTTTTTTTGTCATTTTTTTAAACATAGGAGCTGTATTTTGTTGAGGCTAAGTTATATTTTTTACATCTATTTGGGATTTCCAAAGAAGAGTTTTATGATCTCTAGTTTTATGTTGTTAAATGAAATAGTCATATCATGTTTTAGGTTCCCGAGGTAAGAAAGGCTCATCTGTTGACATTAACCTTGGCCAGCCATTTGCACCAACACCTCTCGTCAATGTTGCCCAGAATATTCTTGGTCTTCATGTAAGTTTTAACATTCTTTTATAAAGATAATATAGAAAATACTCATCAAGTATGCAAAGATTGTAAACAAAATCTGTTTTGTTCCTGTTTTTGGTAGGTATGAAGTGGCAATGAGATATTTTGCAGCTTAAATAACTTAACAAGACAATATTATCTTTTACTCTTGAAAACAATGTGTACCAGAACCTAACCTAATATATATAAATTATGCTTTCCAGTTCTTTACCAATGTAAAGTAAGGATAGTTCTGTCCATACTAAATTCTGAATTCAATAGTAGTTTCCTTATTTGAAGTCTCATTTTAAAAATAGTTAGATTTCTAATTTTAAAAGAATAACCAGACCCATATTTCTAATTTTTTAAAATTGCACCATACTGATTTGGATTTCTGATCAAACTTTCGGCAAATGGTTACAGTGTTGTTATAGTAATTTCCTTTTTTTTAAAATTGGGATATATTGTAATTATGCAGATCTGCCAATCCTTCCGATTTTGAAGAAATAATACAGATTTTTCAACCCTCATTCCGACCTTCTGACAAACCCCTTAAAATTCATATTTTCCAAACATTATAATTTTTCACCTGTCATACAAATCTGAAAGCGACCCAAAAAAAAAAAAAATCTGTATACAGAACAGAATATCCATTTTATTTTCATATGTACACAGGCTGCTAAGAGTTCAGTTTTAAATTGAGTTTTCCAGCATATCCCTAGTGGCCTTTTTGCGCTTGCCCAACTGCTATTTTTACAACTGAAGGTTAAATATATATCTGTATACCCAGTACAAACATTTCCAGTAATGGCAGGTCTGATAATTTATTTTTTAGTATTGATGCAGACTATTCAGTTAATTGTGCCTCTCTCCCAAAACCTCAGATTGGTGTTCAACATGATGCAGAAGAGTTCCTTAGTCAGATTTTAATGATCTGCCATGAAGAGCTAGAGAATGTGATGAAACTTACTCATGTTGATGGTCAGTAAAAATAGGGATTTTAATTTTCACTGCACTGCTGTTAAAGAAATATATTTTGATGAATATTTATTTTGAATTTAAAAAATCACCAAGGAAAGTTATTGCAAGATTTTATATTTCACTATGGATTTTAGGTCATGTACCAATTTTAAAAAATGTATTGAACTCCAAGCAGGTCTCAATAACAATGACATGGAGCAAACCAAGAATGGCTATGTTGACAACAGTTGTGAAGATGTGGAAGATGATAATGTTGATGATGATGAGTCCTGGCAAAAAGTTGGGCCAAAAAATCACCACGTTGAAACCAATGTGGTGAGTATTATTTATTTGGGATTTATTTTAAGGTGTGACCTCTGATTATATATTGGAAGAGTGACTTGAAAACACATAATATTTCATAACATATTGTGTGTTTATCTCTAGAATGATTGTGGACAGACTCCATTGTCAAGTATATTTGCTGGGTTAAGCAGGTCTTGTCTCGTCCGAGAGTCTGGTAAAACAAGTGATACTCTGGATTCTTTCTTTACATTGAAATTAGACATCCAGGTAATATATATATATTTTTTTTCATTCTTCCATGTTAATGCTTTTATACATAAAAGGAAACTTGGGTACTTAAGAGCTTAAAAGATTGTTTTAAGGGGAGGTGCGGGTGAGAAATTGACGAAAATGGCAAATGTTGAATAATTTTTTATTATTAGTTATTTGGTTTTATTAACCATTTCTCTATTACATTTTTATATTTGTTTTTATAAAAGTAAGTTAGAAAATATAATAAATTACAAATTTCCTGACCCTATCAATCAGAAAAATGTCAAAATTGTCCTATTTTTAGTGTTTTTACCCCTTTGTTATTAGTATTTGGAATCACCCAATCCCTATGTCTTTGGCATGGTTGGAAAGATGGTGATTTCGGGGTCAAGATAAATATAGCTTATGATCACAAAGAAAATTACAAAAGCAACCGAACCTTTCGATCGCCGGTAATGTCTAGCAAAATTTGGTATTTTCCTGTCCTACTTCGTGTATCACGTGATCAAACCCTGACCTTTGAATAAAATAAGCATTTTGATTGGTTCCTATGTAGGAAATCTGTTTATAAAGGTCACTTCCGGTATAAACAAAACCGTATCTAATTTCGTGAGGCCTAGCAAGTTCGATATGTAATTTGTCGGTAATAAATTCATTTGAGGAGTTAAAAAACAACTAAATAAGTAAATAACCACACAAAATGAGTTGGCTTTGATTAATTGCCATAATAAACATGATTAATGCTTCTCCTTTTCGGAGAAGACCAAGACTGAGTACACTAAACTACTAAGACTAAGCCTACTCCTAGTGCTAGTCGCTTCAAGTTCAAGCATCGCTACGCTACTTTACCAGCAGGAAAAACATAGAAAAATACTATGCCTTGGTAAGTCTTAAAAATCTATTTTTCATTTAGATTCAAATTTAAAGTACGGTATCAATTATTTATAAGGCTAAGCCTATACTGTGCTCACTATAGACCATTGAATGAGGGCTATACTTATACTTTATTATATTAGTAATAGTTAGTAATAAACACTGTTACTTTTGTGATAGTGAACTGTAGTAAAAATAAAACCTATAAACAATTTATGAATTTAGTTATTGTGACATTTGTCTTACACTGTCCTATATTTATAGCTATTAAAATGGTAATATGAAATTAAATGTAATAAATTTCTCTTTTTTTTTTTTTGCATCGCAAATAACATTGTCATTAGTGTTATTTTATTTTAAAGTAAAGTAAGAGTAAGAGCCCTAACAAATTTTGCTTGAAATACGTGTCAACAAGTATGACCTATCAGTCATTAATTTCATTATAGCCTTATATTTTTATTGAGAAGCATTTAATAAAAATATCTAAATACAAGTTTATTGTTTTCAGGAATCATTGAGGAGACGCGCAATGAGGTTGCGGAACACAACAAACCACAACATGCATTATATTTCCTGTTGATAAACTACACTGATCTGTTGTGCCTAGGTCCATTTAGCCCAAAGGACAATATGCACATGAAAAAGAAGGAGTGCCCTAAGTGTATTCCAATGTTACAGATTCCTCGGCGCAACATATGTTCGATGCATCGAAATAAAAGTAACCTCAGGCAGAGGATGCAAGAGAAGACTAACACAGATTACATCACAAAACTCATTATGTGTTATTCAAGGACAAAAAGAATAAGACAGTAGTTGAAAGAAACATATCAATATTTCCCTTATTTTAACATTGTATCTCTCTGCGATGTGATTTTCAACATGACGAGTGTCAAAATTTGATACAGTAACTAATTAGATTTTACAATGGAGTTATTGCTCATGAGTTTTCTGGCTCACACAAAAAACAGTTAATATGCTTTTGTGGAAAAATACATGTTGCAACTCAAGTGATTCAAAAGTTGTGAGATAGAAATCAGAAAATTTACAACTGTCAATATTCATTCCGTCATTAGAACTCATAGAACTTACAATTTTTTCTTTACAAGAATAAGAGTTGCATTTTCAGCATTCATGGACAATGCCAAATAACTCTTTGGAATTGCATATTTACCTAGCTTAATTTTATGATGCTGAAATTCTCCAAAATAAGCGAATTATTATTTTTTCGACAAATACAGAATAATAGATAAAAATATATCAATCACAGTGAAAAGTTGAGTGGTCAGGAAAAAAGAAAAATGGACCTGGAAAATGATTAAAAATGTCCACAATAGGCTAATAAAAAGTTTTTATTCCAATCTTGGTATAAGATTCTTATTTTTCATTGATATTTTCATTGTTTTTGTCGTTTTTCTTCGTTATTTCAGTTTTCTTGTTTTCACTATTTTTGGTCACTAAAATCCCTATAACTTTTTTATTTATTATCCAAACCTCACCAAATTTTCACAGTATGTTCAGTGACCAATAATAAACATTTGAATAACCTAGAATTAAGATAACTATCTTAGAAAAGAAAATATGTAAATAAGAATTAACCCACACCCCTATTTTTGGAATAAAAAATGGGGTCACAATTTCTGACCCTGTAAATTTATAACCAGTCATTGCATCAAAAAGTCCTGTTATACAAAGTTTCATTATAGGTTAAATAATCTATGTTTAAAATCTGATAGCAATAACTTAATATTTGTAAAAGCCTTAGTGTTTTAAAACACACTAAAAAATATAAAAATGGCGGAGGTTTTTATGGCCTACAAAGGCAACCAATGGAAATTTTTTTTTTTTTAAACCTGTTTTGTACCTCCATTACAATACCAAATAAGGTGTAGTTAAAAAAAATCCTATATGAAGCCAAACAAAAATTTTAGATTTTTCACCCACACCTCCCCTTAAGATGTCATCTTCTGTATCAGCAGATTAACTAGTAATTCCATTGTTTTAAAATATATGATTTTCATTTTGTAACATTATTCAATGGTAATTTATTTTTGGTTTCTCAAAGGCTGAAAATGTTTACACAGTCAAAGATGCTCTTCTGCGACTCAACAGTACAGAAATGGTTCATGACGCAGAGGGAGGAAAAGTGGGTCCTTTATAAGAATAAGATGATGTTGTATTTAAGTATTACTTTCATAACATTCAGTTGATTTTCTTTGCGTGTTTGCTAAGCACCTTATAAAGTTACCACACTCTTTTGCACTTTTATGTTTAGATTATTTTCTTTTAATTTTTTTGTCTTTCTTGATCTTAATTTTTTTTCAAACTGGCACATCTATGTATGAAATATTTCCTTTCAGATTCAGGGACAGCGCCGGATGTTTTTTGATACTTTGCCTCCTGTTTTGATTATGCATCTCAAGTTGTTTCAGTATTCAAATGGCAATGGGCAAAAAATCCAGAAAAAAATTGAATTTGATGTAGACTTGACTATCCCAAAAGGTAAGTGTTACTAGCAGAATGTAGAAAATAAATGTTTTAGGGGGAATAAACAAATCTTTTACACAAAATAAGAGTATTTTCCCATTAGTTTTCTTCTAATTTAAAAGTATAAAGGATGCTAGAAGACATAGAAAATATTGTGGGTTATATACAGCTATGGATTTAAACTAACTAATTGCTAATACTAGGGTTTATATTATATTTGATAGAAACCTTGTCAAGAGTGGGAAAGACAAAGTACCTCTCTCATAAATCAAGATCCTACAAGTTGTTTGGGGGTAAGTTCCTGTAATGAATGTTCTTTCTTGTCTGACTTTTCAAAAAATTCCTTTATTTAACTTGCCATTAATGATGTTCATCTGTTAGTGTATCATGTAAAATGTATCAAAATTTAACGAATTGTAAGAAGACAGATGATATATGATATGATACAAAATGGAGAACAATTTTTCTTTGGGTATTTTAGTTTTGATTTTCTATTTTGCAGTCGTAAATCATCATGGAATGAAAATGAATGATGGTCACTACACCTCTGATGTTTACCTCCCTGCTGCAAGTGGTTGGCTGCGCTTTGATGACAGTGAAGTCTTGCCCATTCAAGAGACACAGGTCCTTCAGTATAGTGAGAGACGCATGCCGTATTTGTTATTTTATCGAAGAATGGACTTGTAGCTAAGTTTTATTTAAAATTTGTGTGTGTGTGCTGTTGACAAGTTATATATAGCCTTTAAATAAATACAGTCAAAATGTCAAGTTTTAGCTACATTTACCTGTACATAATTAATTACTATTTATGTCACATTAAAGTAAATAATCTCCAAGCTATCATTGAAAGTCTGCTGCATTATAGTCAATAATTACTATCTATCATCCCATTGTTACAATTCATAACTGTAATAAGGTAACTTCTGTTCCACTTTTCCTTCAGTTTTTTCAAGAGTTTTAAAAATCAAATTCCCAGACAGCAAAAAATAAAGAAAATTAAAGTACATCTTTAAATAAATATTATTTTATATTAATCTCCTTCAAATCTTCTTACATTATAATTTATGATTGAAAAATTAAAGTTACCCATTTAAAATTCTTATTTTGACTTTATCAAACGTCAGCTATTTAAAACTTTTGTTTGAAATACCAAAGGCAGCAATTCAGTTTTAATAGGTCAAAGGTGGCCTAGATTAATAGAAAGTAGCAAACATTTTTAAATGAAACATTTTTGTTTTATGTTCTTATATTCCATAGATTTTTAATTTTCTGTCTTTTTATTTTTAATTGAAAGACTACTGCTATCATTTTTATTGAGATTACTTGTAATGTCCTGAAGCAATTTTTCATGTCATTATTTCTAGTAGGTGTAAAAGGTTATATATAGTTTGGGGATGAAATAAAGTGGTTTGAATGAGAGCTAAGGCAATGAAGTATTTGACATTTGAAACAACTATCTTAAGTTCCTTTACCACAACGTAGTGCTTAAAAGGTCATAGAATTTTCATTTTCTCCACACAATTGTTTTATTTTCATATTTTACAAATTTTAAGAATGCATTATGCTGAGCTAGTCAGATTTCCTTTATCAAGTGACAGTACCTTGTTAAAGTTAGGGGTGTCACAGTATGGAGGATACCTGTCCATGTTCAATAACAATCAGATTCCCAATTAACAGCTTTGGATATTTTTAAAAACATTGAAAAATGGCATTTACATCCGTACTGTCTTCATTTATCTTTCCATGTTGCTGTCAACACAGTTCACTCAGTCCTTTAGATTGCTCCTATCAGCTTCCAATTTATAGATAGCCTGCATTTATAGTCACTTCAATTTGTAATCATTCAGTGTTGTTGCTGGGCATATTTAATAACTTAAGTAAATACCACCACTTTCAGAACCTTTTCTCTGACAAATACATTTTCTTCTTCTTCTTAAGCCATGCAAATTGATGAATGCTGTTGATATTAAGCACATTTTAAATCACTCCTGGTTTGGTAAGAATGGATGTGTGTCACTCATGAACCATTTGCCTTCCCATTAAAATTGCCTGGAATTATGTTGTTGTTTATACTGATTTATATAGAATACAGAATATATGTAAAAATGGGCTTCAGAAGTTATGAAATGAACCTTTTCTGAAATCATTAAAATGAAAGCTTGTAAAACCACTTTCATCCTTGACGCATGATAAATGTATATACATTTCATGGAATGGCATTTTAAAATGAATAATATTCTGCTTAGACTTAATTTATTTTTACTATTGAGGACATATTTTTATTTATTTAATGAAAAGGCTATGAATTCAAGGCTGTTGGAAATAATATGGAATTTTTTCTTTCTAAAATGTATATTACCAACAACATAATCAATTTCTAAAGTTCTTGAAAAAAGGAAATTTAGACAGAATATACTTATGCTATGCAGTATTAGAATTTACTAAGAGTGTTTACTTTGACAATTAAAATGGAGACTAATAGCTGAAATATTTGTCATGATAAGGTAAATCTCAAATGACTATTTGTATATGAGTTCTTAACTAAACTGATGATTAGTGTTTGTTTTTTGTACTGACACTGCAACCAAATGGTTGTGTTACTGCATATTAAAATTTATAATGTTTGTGTAAATAATCTTGCCAGATTCTAAACATTGTTTATTTGAGTCAGGTAATTACATAAGTAAATAAATTTACATTGAACAGTTTTGTGTGCTTGTTTTTCTTTGCTTCTTTTCCATTCACCTCAACTTTTTCACAGTTTTTCTTTATAATATTTTTAGTCATTCTTTTCTTTATGTAACATTAATGTTAACTTTGAAATCTTCTACTTCTACCATTGTGAATTGGAATGCATTAGCCTAATATATGTGTAGATACATTTTAAAAGCAGAGTAGAGTTTGAATATATTTTATAGCGCTAGATGAGATATACTCAAAGTGTTCATCATGGATTAGTACTGATGTAAACCTCACAGTATTTCTTTGTTTGAACATTTAATTGATTCAGCCATGTCATGTTGGTAAGCATAAGTATTTGATTTTGAGTTTGTTCAGAACATTTTCATTTTAAAAAAAATTCAGTTTGGAGCTCATTGAGTTCCAACACCTGCCTATTATCTATTAGAGTATTACAACTGATTAATAGCTGGCCATCTATTTCCAAACTGATGCACTGTGTGATGATTTTTTTTTGTGTTTTCAATTTTCATGCAAATTACTCGCATCCTCAATCACCAAGTTACATAAATTACATTATATTACCTATTTTAGTATGTTATTTTTGGTTACTTGTTCAGTAATGATCTGGACAAAACAAGATATTTGATTGATCTTGTTTTTTATTTTCTTAGTATTTTAAGAAGGAAATGACTGGGTATGTGTCGAGGATTAATTGGCAATTTTTCCAGAATATTCATATAATTTTGCCAGCATGTTCATCTTAAAATATGTGTATATAAATGTTCATTTTGTGTTTGTGTATATTAATATTCCTTTGGGGGTGATTATGTTAATGTTAATGCTGTGTATTTTAATGTTCATTTTGCATATGTATATTTTTATATTCATTTTGTGTGTTTTTTTTAAAATGATTTTGTGTGTACATGTGTGTTTTAATGTTAATTGTAGGTGTGAGTTTAATGTTCACTTTGCGTGTGTGTATACTTTAATGTTCAATGGGTAGCACAATCTCACTCTAGAGAATATGGTTTCAGACAATAGTGCATTGATTCACAGTTCAGTAGAGGTGAAGGTCAGTGTTATGCTACACAAAAATATTAATTGTATTATTTTTCAAGTGTTAATAAATTATCCAGGTTTTAAAAACTAAGAAATGCTACTTCAAGCTCTCTCCTAGAAACAGCATGAGTAGAAATTGTTTCAGTCTTTCACATGTAAATATTCATCATGTCCTGCATCAGTAATGCATTGTAAATTAAATGGTATTGCGGAGATGTACTGTGAGAATGAAGAGCACTAAATGGTAACGTCATGAAATGTTTTACTTTGCAAAGATTAATACATCTTCATATTATATTTATTTATGTTTCGAGAACTGAAAGTGTTTTATTAATCTAAAAATAATTATGTAACACTTTTTAAAGAATGACAAAAATGATAGTTGCGAATGGTATTAACTTAGATAACTGTGAATAATATCAATTACACTTTCTAAAAAAGACGACTGTTGTATGATTAAGCAAAAGCTTTTAGAAACTTAGTCATAAAGACGTTGCACATTCATGCCATTTGTAAATAATAATACTAGTTTTAAAAATTGTGCTATATATAAATGTTGCCATGCACAAGGTATCCTGAATGTCTTGAGCAGAAGATAAAATTGCAACGTTACATTTTATTTCTCTAAACTGATGATCCTAGTTATTGAAACAAATCATAATTGGGGTGTAAGGAGTGGTGGTTAATTTGTGTAAAAAAAATTATTCTTTTTGCTCATGTAAACTTTTTATTTCTTTCATTTTCCTGAAATAAAACAATTATTTTTTTTTTAATAGAAAATAATAAAAATAAGTCTAGTCAAAAACACATCATCGATTAGTTTATCCTACAAAACAACATATAAATGTCTCGCCTCTGCCACCCATTGTCAGCAGTGTAAAAAATGTCTATTAACCCTTTGTGCACCTAAAAGAGTTTGCCAGAACAAAACATTACTTTTAGGCATCGTGATCAATGTTAAGTTTGTTTCCAAACGTTTCATGAATGTAGTGGACAATTAACACTTAACTTTTTAGTTTCAGCTGTAACAAAACATTTCTTGGTACTTGTTTCTCACTGACTAGCAAGTTGATGATGTCCTAAACTGACACTGACGAGAAGTCTATTTCACTGCCATTCTCTAAAAACTAGATGTAGTATTGTATGTTTAGAATCAGAAATGCATTTTATGATGCATTAAATGCAAAAACAAAATGTAACTATGCGTTCATTTTCTTTTTGCTTGATTTACTCATTCCAGTGGTCTAAAGGCGTGCTTCCATTGGTTATAATTATTTTTCAGTTTTTTCGCCAGCGTAAAAAAATTAATGTACAATTTTTTTTCTTTACCTAAACTGCTTGTTCATCTGTACAAATATGTTCAAATCTGGACAATGTAATAAACATTTTAAAACTATAATTGATATAATCTTATAACAGTAAGTCAAATATCTTTATGAAAAGTTGTAAATGCAACTGGCACTTTTGTCCCAGGATCAGACTCCATATGTAGAAATAGAAAAACCAAGCTCAGCTTATCAAAGCTTAGGATTAAACAACATTGTAAAGAAATGGACATTTGAACTAGTAAAAAATCAATGTCAAACCATTCCTTATCCACATAGTTTTAGTTGGCCACAATGTTACTTTTTATTATAAGGTTACAGCTTTAGCTATCTTTCTGTGGTAGTGTTTTCTGTTTTAAATTAACAAAACTGTATCTCAATATAACTTTTTGAATAACAATGAACAACTTTAAATTAGAAAAAGGATTACTTTTTTTTCATATTTTATTTTTAACCTATCATTTACTATTTAGTGCATTGAAACTGTATGGAAACTAAGATTAAATCACAAACTTGCTATATTTTGTTTTAACTAAACTTTTTAAGTTATCCCTTTAAAAAAAATAAAATATGCTCTTGTAACAGATCATGCAAACATCTCATATGCACCTATGGTTATAAAACAATATTCACTTTAAAATGTTGTTTGATCCATAAAAAATCTTATATTCGAATAGATATTTCTTCACTGTATTCTTTTTTTTCCCCAGTATAATCTTATTTGTTTAGTTTTAATTACAAAATTAATCTACTTATCTACTTCTTAGAAACACAAAGGCATAATGGAAACTGGAAAAGTTTATGAAAATTATTACTAATATCTGTGTTCCTGAACTTGTTTGTAAGTAAAATTAATAATTATGAATAATTATGAATGGCTTTGAAAATATTTTCAAAGTTTCTAGTGCAAGGGACACATTTGTTTGCAAATATTTTGAATACCCGGTATGTTAAAGAAAGAACAAGTAGAAATAGCCTTGAAATAGCTTAAAGACTTTGAAAACTGGTGTACTCTGGCAGAGCTACAAATTTCTGTCATAATGATTTTTAACTATATTTTAAAAATAATGACGAATTAACAACTGGGCTATAAATTTGATGTACTCCTCAATCTATCAGGTAGATTAAGGTTTGCTATTGTGTGTAGTTTTACAATTTCCTTAACATGTGAAAATTATGGCTTGACTGTGGCATCTTTACATTATAATTATATGTACATTTAAATTTAAAATAGGTTTGTTTTATAAGTAAATTATTGTTATTTATTATGTATAATAAGTAACTGCTTCTGACAAAATAATAATCTAAAAATAATGATCTAAATCGAAAGTAGGGAAATTATTTTATCAGAGACTCTGCACAAATCACGATTGTTAATTAGAATTAGAATAGATAAAAAAATTATGTCGATTTTTTTTTCTTTCTTAACTAAAATACCATGAAATTACAAATGCACTCTGTTGTTTATTCTGAATTTAATAATTTTGTGGACTTAAGTCAGACATGGAACGACTGTAGCGCTAGCTGCCTTGCGATCATGATTGGGTTTGATGCCCTGCTTAATATAATTTAAATAGGCACCTTAAATTAAAAAATAATATAACCATAAAGCAAACAAATTTTTTTTATTGAAAAGCAACTCAGAAAATGCTTCCTTCATTTTTTTTGCCTGGCATAATGTTAACGTGTATAAATTGAATGTCTGTGGAAATTACACAAGCTCATTGTTTGAGGGGAATATACTTGTATCTTCTGACTGTGTTGGTTGCATGGCTTTGTGTGCTGTGTCCTCTTGTATATAATTTCATCTGTTTCACTTTGTGCAGTCATTCTGAAATAAAGAAAACCCATCATCTTAAATAAAGCACTTGTTGAATTTCTATGTTGATTTGAATGCTCTACAATTACGTATAATTTGATGACTTGTAACTGTCCATTATGATAATCCATTTCTCTGCCCTCCACCCTTCCACCTCATCATTCTCTACCAGCAAAACCTCCACTATCCCTCCAACCTCTCTTTCTATAAATACACTTCTTTTCACCAAGCCTCTGGCCCACGTATGCCCCAACCTTGCTACCTTACTCCTTGCACTGCTCTGCTGTGTGAGCTTTACTTACAGTAATTACAGTTACAGTCCATGTATTTTACACAGACCTAATTGCATTGTAAAACAGTCTATCAAATGGAATTCCCCTTTATATCTAAATTTCATAGACTGTGATAAAGGCCTTTGATGGCCTGGACCAACAAACCTTGTGGAAACTTCTTCAGCATTATGCGGTACCAGGATAAAGAGTCTGGATCATTCAGAGTTTTTATAAAGAAATGACAATCAGGGTGGTATACGAATGTAGAATCACAGATGCCTTTTTAGTGGAAATAGGAGTCAGACAAAGATGTGTCTGTCCCTCTTCATATTCATCTTTGCCATTGACTGGATAATGAATAAAGTCCAGACAAAAAAGAGGAAAGGGATACTGTGGACACCATGGGAACAACTGAATGCACTAGACTTTGCAGATGACATTGCACTACTTCTTTCCCACAATTAGTAACAAATGCAGGAAAAATTAAAACATGCAGCCACCATTTCAGCACAGCCCGGACTCAACATAAATATAAATAAATTCAAGACAAAGATCATGAAGGTAAATTCAGCTAACCAAGAGCATATCTCTTTGGCAGGAGGCCTTCACATATTTTGGCAGCACAAATGACATAAATGGTGGATCCGAAGTTGATGTCAGGGCTAGAATTGGAAAGTCGGAAAGGGTAGGTCAGCATATGAGCTATTTAAGAAAAGAGTCAAAAGAGCTGACACTGTAAACTAAAGTCAGAATTATCCACACAAATCTCAAAACAGTCTACTCTATGGAGCCCAAACAACTGCGAGGATCATGCAGAAAGTACAAACCTTCACTAACACTTGCCTTAGAAACGTCCTAAACATCCAATGGTCAAACATCATCACAAGCAAAGAATCACTGGAAAGGACATACAAATAGCCTATTGCTGAAGACATCAAAGGAAAAGAGGGAAGTGCAAAGGGCACACTCTTCGTAAGCCCCCAGATTAAATCACCAGACAATCCCAAACATGAACCCATGGGGAAAAAGGAAGAGAGGAAGGCCAAAGAATACATGGAGATGTGAGCTGGAGGCAGACTCATTAAATATGGGGAAAAGAAAATACAGGACCGAGATAAATGGAAAACTCTTGTAGACTGCCCATGGTAAAAGCATAAGTTATTAAGTACTTTTATTTCAGTTAAGCCTTACAAACCAAAAGAAAAAAAAGAAAAGGGGATGGGAGCAATGTTCCCTCTAAGGTTTTTTTGTTTGTGTGGAAAATCATACAGTTGTGGGCAAAGTTTTACAGCATCAATTTTTTGTGTGCAAAATTGTACAGCCCACTAACACAAACACACACTTACATGGAAATTTGCTGCGTTGTACTCAAAACTGCGGCGTCTGTGAGATAGCTGCGCGGCCGCACAGCTTAAAGGGAACATTGGATGGGAGAATTTTAAAAAAATAAGTTGTAAAGTAAAAAAAAGACATTTTGGAGCAAGAGTAGTGGAAGAGTGGATATTTCAGTGGAGATTTAATATTGCTCTTATTATTAATTATGTTAAAAATGTCCAGCATTTCTGGTTAACTATATAATTATAATATATATCATTAACATGCTGTCCAAAGACAGGGATTGGGAACCTGCCACCTTCTAGGTCTTAAAGTTTGGCCTTTTGATTAAATTTTACAGTACAAATCCTTTTATTTTTATTATTTTTCACATAACTAAGCCTCACATAATTACTAGTTAATTTTTAAAAACAAAATAAATTATTTTCATTTCATAATTTCATTCATTTACAAAATAGTGTACAATTATAAATTTTATTATTAATGTATATTAATAGTTGATTGAAGTTTCTTGAATGGGGCCTTATTTGCATACAGATAAACGAAAATAGCCCTCCAACATGTAAAGGTACCCCAACTCTGGTCTAAGAGAAGACCTTTTCACAAAAGGTATTGTTAAATTTTTTGGGCTAGAAAAAAAGAAGTTGATAACTTTTGGTAAGTAGTTACCAGTAACCTCTATTTCAAAACATCCTGTTGTGAGGAATACACATTCCTCTAATCTTCACGTGTTGATATCTGTCCGAACTTATTAAAAAATGTCAATATTTAAATTAAGTAATGGAGGTAAATTATGGTTATATCGTGTTTTAGCGTAGTAAATTAAATACAATTGAAACAGGACATCAGTAGGATTACACTTACAGTCAAAGTCACCCTATTCACTATCAGACTCTATACTCTATCAGTCTATCAGCCCATCCAGTGTGTAAAAAATAAAGCGGTAATTTACGGTGACGACTGCCACTATTTTATTGAATTTCACGAATATATCCCTAAATCGTTCCCTATGCCTAACCTGAACCCTAAATCGATCCCCCAACCTAACCTAAACACTAATTCGCTGCAACTATAATAAACACACAAAAGACGCTGTGGCAGCCGTCCTCAAATGTATCCCTAAACCTAACCTGAACCCTAGTTTACGGCAACTTTAATTAATAGGCAAAATATGTCATGGAATCCATTCTTTGCATTGACCGTAAAAAATAGCGTGACATTGACATCTTCTTCTTCTATATCTTAAGGGCCCACGATCAATTTATTGATCATTTTGGCTCCTATGCATGTAGATGGGATTTGCAATGTTTCTGTTCCTGGTGTTGATGAGGAAATTTCACAGATTTCCAGTGCCACTTTGTGAGGGAATCATGCACTGGGGGTTTGAAGGCTTGAGGCAATAGACACAAATGTGTCTAGTGTTGTCGCCTCAACCGTTCCTTTTGAAAGATTGTTCCAGTCCCTGATTGTCTTGGGCAGGAATGAGCAGCTCCTATACTGGCTTCTTGCTGGTATGAGCCTGAATTGCCTGTCATGGCCTCGTCGCTGTCTATGGGGGAGAGGTACGAGTTTCTGTTTAATACTGGAACAGTGGACCAGCCCATTATTTATCTTGTACATCATGGAGAGCCTGGATTGTCGTCGTCGTTTCTCCAATGGTGACCAGCCTAGTGTTTCTAGCATGCTGCCAACACTAGAGGTATTCCTGTAGCGGTTTAGGACAAAGCGTGCTGCTCGTCGCTGGACCGCCTCCAACCTGTCAATGCTCTTCTGGGTAAATGGGTCCCAGACTGAAGATGCATAATCTAAAATCGGACGGATAAAGGCTTTATATGCTCTTTCTTTCACACAGGAGTTGCCAATCTTTAGATTTCGCCTTAAGAACCCTAGGGTCTTGTTTGCTTGGTTACATACATTGTTAATATGTTCATCCCATCGGACCTCTCTTTGAATGGTAACACCCAGGTACTTTACGGAGGAAACTTGCTCAAGAATATGGCCGTGCAGTTTGTATTGGTAGTGTAGAGGAGTACAACTTCTAGAGATTGATAGTGTCTGGCACTTGGCAGGGTGAAATTCCATGTCCCAGCTCATCTCCCACTCAGCTAACAGATTGAGATCCTGTTGTAGCTGGTCCTGGTCAGATCTGTTGGCGATCGTCCTATACACTGCTGTGTCATCTGCAAACAGTCTTGCCTGTGATGTCAGTTACATAGTTCACATAGTATGTTACACTGTCTAAAAAAAACCTAAAACTGTCTTTAAACTTTAGATTTAGGCACTTTGAATTTAGCCAACCAAGGCCTTGCCTTGCACTTAGAGTTTATTGCTTTATTTAAGTGGCAGTCGTCCCCGTAAATTACCCAATTAGGGTTGAGGTTAAGTTAGGGATACATTTTGTTAGGTTTAGTGTCAGAATTAACTGGTTGTGTCAAGCAAGATGGCGGCCATCGGGAAAAACATGGCATCCATTTTTTTGCATTTACCTTTTTTACAATAGTATGGGGCTTGTCATTTAGTGGCGGAAATCTGTTAATAGAACTGCTGTAATCATCCGGGTACTCGGGTCAGACAAAATGTCAACACTGTTCAATACTACTTTTTTAGCGAAGAGGCTCATAACTGATTAACTACCAGATTAAAAAACCAGCTGTGGCAGAATTAAATCTAGGTCACATTTAATACGATACAAACATTGGCGCTACCAGCGGCTCATGGCCATAACGGAAGAAACATCGAGCAGCTCCCATCGGCTCATGGTAGTTAACCAGTTAACCTAAATCAAAACTTGTTTACAACTATATTTTACTAAATATTTTACACAATTTTTTTATTGGCGGCCCTCGAAGTAACGAAATATTCATTATTATTATTATCTTCTTAATAGCTTTCTCCCCTGTCCTATCATCATTCGGCCGGCACAAGCTTTTCATAAAGTATTAGGGCCCGCACAAGATTTCCATAAGATATTGCGGCCCGCCTTACATTTGTATTGTGCAGGCCTGCTCTAGATTATGGGAAAGAAGTCTCAACCCCCTTTCCTGGTGTTATTTCAACAGGTACATGCTCTTTTCATCTTCATATCATCATCAGTGGCACTACAGCCCATTGTAGGGCCCTGGCCTGCTCCACCACATCCTTCCATTCGAAACGATCCATGGCTTCCGCCTCCCTGCGCGAACCCCCGACTGGTGTAAATCCTTCTTATCATTGTCGATCCATCTCAGCCTTGGGTGACCGGTGAGTCGTCTCCCCCTAGGTTTCTGCCTGTAGTGTATATCACTTTTGCTGCTCTACATTCCGACATCCTTTCAATATTTCCTGCCCAGCGCAGTCTGCCTTTTTTTATTGTTGCGACTATGGATGGGTCTTTGTATAATTTGTATAGCTCTTGATTTGTACGGATTCTTCAGACATCATTTTCCATCACTGGGCCATATATTTTTCTGAGGATTTTCCTCTCCCATGTATTGAGAAGGTTCTCTGCTTTTCTGGTAAGGGTCCAAGTCTCACTAGCGTAAGTTACTACTGGTCTTATGATAGTGGTGTATATTGTCTTCTTTGTTCCCCTTGAGAGGTTTTTGCTTCCCAGTAGCTTTTGTAGGCTGAAATAGGAACGGTTGTCTGCAGTTATCCTTTCTTTCACCACCGATATTATTTCATCGTGCTCTTTTATATAGTTGCCCCTAGATCATCGGTAGTCATGTTGCGGCCCGCAGGGCTTGGTCTAATGAACATGAATGTTAACTTTATTGTACATATCACCAAAAGAATATTACATCGTGAGTCCTTCATGTCAAATATTTGTAAGTTATAGCTAAGAGGAATTTGAAAAATCTTGCATGCAGTAGCTATACTAATACTAGAAAAAAAATCGAAGCCATATCCAGTAGGTGAAATGGTTAAGGAATGTTTGGAGAGCATAGTTGAAATTCTGTGTCCAGAAAAGAAGAAGGATTTCTAAAAAATACATCTGTCTCGTCAGGAGTTCGAAGTCCTTCAAAATGGACCTTGTCATGAAAGCGGTCGTCAAATAGTGATCTTCATTAAGTCAAAAGGGTTGAATCACCGTCAGTTTCAAGAATTTCTAAAGTCTTTGGACTCAGATTATAACAATGCTACCTTTTATGCAGAAGTAAGATGGCTGACCCGTACCAAAATGTTGAAAAAAGTATTTGATTTGCAGCAAGAAATACAATCATTCTTTGCAAGCAAGTCAATAAGTATCCCAGAGTTTGAAGACAAAGAGTGGGTTTGCGACTTTTCATTTCTTGTTGCTATAACTAGTCTCCTAAATGACGTTAATACACGTTTACAAGGGAAAGATCAATTAATGAATAAGATGTTTGATAATATTTGTGCATTTGAAATGAAACTTGGTCATTGGGAACAACAGTTGAAGACAAAAAACATAACTCACTCTCCTACATTGTCTTTGCAACCAGACGTCACGCAGGCGGCAGCGGATAAATATGTTTCTTTGATATCTGACTTAACCTTGAATTTGAAAAAGGATTTCAGGATTTTAAAAAAAAACATCTTTGCTTTTTTGTGCTTTTGCAATGCCATTCGCGGTAGACCTAAATTTAATACCAGGAAGATTGCAAATGGAACATTGCGAAATGTTTGCGATATACAGTTTAAGGAGAAATGCTATCAAGTTGGCTTGGAGGAGTTCTTTAAAACCGATAAGGACTAGGATAAATATTCTTCGCTTTACAAACATGCTCTGTTGATGTTTTCGCTATTTGGAAAAACTTATGCGTGTGAACAGCTTTTTAGTTGTATGAAGCACATCAGGTCACAAGTGAGAACACGAATTACTGATGTTCATGTGGGAAAACTGTTTGCATGTAGCAACAACATCAGTCGAGATCAATTTTGATGCACTTAGTTCTGCAAAACAATGTCAAATGTCTCACTATTAAATATTTCTTAAATTGTCCAATAAATATGTTTGATTCTCAGTTATGTTTTTTATTTTCTCAACAAAAAAAAATATACCTATTTCTTGTTATGTTTGCATTAAACCAGGCAATCGTTTGACCACGTTGTCACCTAATGGGAAGCGACAATGTGGTAGAAGCTGTAGCACGCTTGCTTGTTAAAAAAAAAAAATTAGTTGCGTGGCCCGGCAGGAAATATTATTTCTGAAATTTGGCCCGTCTGCTGAAAAGGTTGACCACCCCTGCCTAGATAGTTGAATGTAGCCACTCTCTCAAATTTGTGGTTGTTTATATTGATTTTGTCATCAGTAAGGGAGTTTTGTGACATTATCATATATTTTGTCTTTGGTTCATTTACATCATGACCAGCTTTGACTGAGGTGTATTTAATTTCCCTGAATGCTTTAATTATGCCATTACTGTTTCTACCCAGTAGCGCCAGGTACTGCAATGGCTGGCTACACAAGGTTCCTGATGGTTGTTATTCTGTAATACCTCTCTGAAAGTAGCTTGTTATGTTTCCACTGGTGTTCATGTGTATGCTTCTAATAGCTTTTTCTAGCTTGATGTGAAACAGGATACATGATAGTGAGTCTCCTTGTCTGAGGCCCTTATTAACTGGGAACTCCCTTGAGTATTCTCCCAGCACCTTGATTCTACTTTTGGAGTTAGCCATCGTCATATGTATGATAAGAGTAAGCTTGTTAGGGACTCCCAAGTTCTTGTGGAGCATTGTATAAATAATTCCTGTCCACGCTATCATATGCTGTTTAGTAATCCACATATATTCGTAACATTTCTCCAGGAGACATCTAATAGTGAAAATATGATCTGTGGTTGACCTATTCTGCCATAATCCACATTGGTAGTCCCCTAGGATCTGTTCACTATACCATTCCAGTTTTCTTGTTTTGTGAGGATTTTTTACATTACATTAAGGAGGGCGATTCCTCTGTAGTTTGAGCAGATCAACTTAGATCCTTTTTTGTGAATTGGGATTATGAGTGCAGTGTCCCATTCTAATGGCATTTCTTCCTCCTGCCAGATTCTAGATGAGGTGGTGGATTTGCCTATGCAGTTAGTTATCAACTAGCTTTATCAGTTCTGCAGAGATAAGGTCTATTCCTGGGGTTTGTTATTTTTCATGGTGAAGATCATTTCATTTCATTTAATGCTGGTTGGTTGACCAGTGGATTTGGTCCTCCTTGTGGTAGAGGGTAATCCTCATTGGTACCTTCACCTGAGCCATTCAGTAAGCCTTCAAAGTGTTGTGCCCATCTCTCGTAGTACTATACTGCTCTCTGTGATCAATTGTCCACCCATACCTTCACACATGTGGGATCTTACTTGAAAGCCATTCTTTTCCTGTTTTATCTCCAGGTATATTCTCCCCACATCTCTTTCTTTTGCCATCTCTTCTATCTCTACTATTTTTTATTTTTCCCAAATACGTTTTTCCTTTCTTCAAATTTTGCTAGCCACACGTCTTGTTGCATTAAATAATTGCAGTCATCTTCTGGTCTCCCTTTGCAGCAGCATTAGCCGAGCCTTGTTTCTTTGTTCTATAAGTTATTTTCATTCTGCGTCATACCATTCTGTTTTTTTAAACTATCGGTTCAAATCCAATCGTTTCCTCTTATACACTTTTTAGTATTTGTTCCCTAAATTAAAACACATGTGCGGCTACAGTTACATACTGTGGTAAGAAAAAGTAAAAATGAAGAAAAACAATACAAAATATAATACTGAATATGAATGAAATAACCAGGGCATTGGCTGAGTCGTGATTTGCTTTTGAGTGATCAGTGAGTAGTCCGTACTGCAGTGGGCTGAAACTGAGTAGGAGTTAGTAGAAAGTAGGGGTGTGCCGGATTCCGGTCCGGAATCCGGTTCCGCCGGATTTTGCACTATCCGGTGAAATCCGGTTCCGCCGGATTTACATGTATCCGGAACAACCGGATTCCGAAATCCGGAATATACCGGATTTCGGAATTTGCCAGATTTTGTGACTCACCGGATCATAATCTGAAATAAAAGTAATTCTCTTTCCCGAATTCCACACGATCACGATACATTAATCGATTGTTTCGAGCGTTGAGCTTGTTTTATGTTTAATATTCCGTACATACCAGAGGCTAGAGTCAGCACCGCTAATAGTGGCCAATAGTGTAGGGACTTTGATTAGAAAATTTAAACTTTTTGTAAAAATAAACCAATGGCATAGTTGAAAAGATGTAATTTTTTAAAGAATTATAACACCAAAATCATATATTTAGCTGTTGTAGTTTTAAAGTTATGAATTTTTAAAGTACGACTTGGTTTGTCATTTTTTAACATGGACTGCATCTCCACATTCTGTGATCTCATTCCGCCAATCCCGTCATGCGCAATGACTATATAGTTTATATAAGGCAACGCATTCCCTGCCTTATCACTAAAATACTGTTTAGACTTAGTTTAAACTTTCAACTTTGGCACATGAATAATTAATTAAAGCTTTCCCTGACCAATGGTTTAATAGTTTTTGCACACGGCAAACTCTTATGAATGAAACTCTGAGGTAGTACTACGATACAGTTATGCAAGTGGCTGTGAATGGTTGCCAATGACAACGTGTTGCACACGGTAAATTCTGATCATTTATAATATGGATTCTACCGGGTTGTTAAAGCTCAAATTAAAACATTCCAGTTTAAATGTCTTTAAATGCATTCTGAAACACAAGTTATCAATTATTTTGATGTAAATAGTGATAATATATTAATATTTCCTAAGTATCGTCAACTTCCGCCATTAAAAAGGGGGGCGTGGCCAACCCCATGGCGAAATTAGGTTGAGCGAGCTGCATAACCTGCTGCGAACGCGTAGAAACATGGCGTCTCTCGTAAGACACTTATCCAAATGGAACGGAACTGAAATATATATCGAAAGTACTAATTTAATAATAAATAGACACACACATCGGAAAATTAAAAACTCGGATTTTTTGGCGCCGATTGCGAATTCCCATACACAAAAAGTATGAGGATTATTCCGGAATCCGGATTCGGATTATTCCGGAATCCGGATTATTCCGGAATCCGAATCCGGATCCGGCGGATTTCGCATAAGAAAATCCGGATCCGGTTGGAAAAAACGGATCCGGCACACCCCTAGTAGAAAGGACGTCTTAGTTTGGTCAAGGTCTGCATTGATTGCTTACACATAGTGCCTAAGAATAATTGGAGGGAACATTTATTCATATGTTATAAAAATCTGTATTCAATCCTAAACTATCTGAAGAACAAATTGCTACGTAATATATATGGACTTTATGGTAATTTTTTTATCCCTTTTAATTTAGCTGCCAGGATGTTATCTCTTAGAATGACAAGCAACAAAACAGATTTAATCTCATCAGTCAATCTACATACATCACAAAGTTTTCTGATTGACAGGAGAAAAGACAAGGCTGTTGCACAGCATCTACATTATCAGTAAGCTGAAGGACAGGAATGTTTTTAACTTATTAATTTTGCTTTAATCTACTCAACCCCTTGAATATATATTAGAGTAAACCTTACTTTGAGTTTCATTTTAACTATTTTAATTTTTTAAAATTTTGGGAACAAAGTTTCTCTTATATGTTTGCAACAGTAGCTTAACCTTTGAAAGTGAAACGGGCAAATTTATTATTTCAAAGCTATCACAGATCTAATTTGGATGGTTAACTCTTTTGCTGCGGTGCAACACACAGTACGTTCATCCACCTTGCTAAAAAGCACGGAACAATGCACCGTGCGTTGTTTCAATATCATGGTTTTTTCTTTGCTATTTCTCGGTTGGACTTTTTAAGAGCTATTTTTTAATTAGACTTTTACATAGAAGATTGGAACTTCATTGTTTGTGAGCGAAAGCAAGGTTTATTTCTTGTGATTTGAACCATTATTTTATTAATATTCTTTGCTCTTTTTTTTCTGTATTAATACTGTTGCCATGGCTGCCCCAGGCCCTAGTGTGGTAAGTTTCCTAGCTCAACAAGCTTTGGCGTATCGAAATTATAAATATTAGGGCTGACCCGGTTTCAGTTTTTGTTACACCCGGTCTAGATCGGTGGGGATTGGGGGCTGCTTTTTTGTAGATAAAAATGGTTCGTCCTGTAATTTTGATTGGGGGTTGAGGGAGGCAGAAATAGGGCTAAGAAGAGTGGAGGGTCATGCAGAGGGGCTTTGTAAGTCAATTCCCAGAAAATGTTTGATAAATTCACTCACCTGGTTATAGCTTTGAGTGAAAGCTGTCAACTTTTTAAGTTTAGGTCAAAAAAGCAACAAAAAACTGGTAAACAAAAAAGGACAGAAAAAAAATTTAAAAAATATATACTGTAATGTAATTTTTAAAAAATGAAAACAAAAACATCCAAAATATTTATAGTCAGTTAGCTGCTGACATCTAACAAATGAATAATAGTTTTTAAAAAAGTTTTACACACAAAATCTCCCTCGAATTTCTGAAATTCACAAGCGATGTCTGACATTTTGTCAGGCAACCCCATATGAGGTTGTGACCCCCAGGTTGAGAACCACTGCCCTAACCCATAAACATAAGAAAAATCAAACACGGACCAGGGCTTCACAATAAGCGCTAGTGTCTGTGGTCACTGGTTCAAAGCAATTTACATTTATATTAAAGTACGCATATTATTTTAAAAAATATTTATATCATCATCATGGCGATACCATCCTTCCTTCAGTTAAGCCAATTGGTTTCCTTTTAAATGAGGGTTCAATTAAATTACTATTCCATGACAGAACTTAGTTATGATCCACACACAAATTTTGCCTAATCAGTAACATCAGCCAGTAAATATGTTAAATGAAATATTAATTGTAAATAGAAAGTTTTAAGGTCTTAACAATAGATATGCATCTTGCTAAGACAATTACACAAAACTTAAGCAATTACATTATTTTCATAGCTTTGCTGTTTCATTTAGCTTACAATTTGTTTTGCACCAATTACTTTCAGTTTTCTTTTATCATATATTTAATTAAGGTCAAATGTACAAAAAAATTATGTAAAAAAGATGTACTGGGTCTATACATTTCTTCCTATATTTTATAAAAAAAAGGTTTTAAGTTTTTTACTAAATGCAAATTTGCTCTTCAATTCGTTAAATGTGATACTCTTGGATTATTGAGCTAGATATTGGTAACACGATCAGTCATATACATGTTCACACAGAGTAAATTGGATTTTTAAAATATACATATACCAATAAATTGCTTTCCCCATTTAGATCACAAATATTTTGTATCTCTTTGTTTCTCAGGGATCATGAGAAAACCATGAGACACAGGAATCTCCCAATTGTTGAATGCCCAGATTATTCTTATGTTGGTAAGTATTGGGAACATGCAGGCATGCCACCATTTCAGGCTCAAAACCTTCAAAACCAACTAAAATCACAAAAATAATAATAAAAATAAAATAATGTTAAAAATTATGCACATTTGATGTTCAGGTCCATTACAAATAGTTATGGTTAAGTATTGCACAGTTGTTCTCATCTAACTTTATTGCTTTTCAAAGCTTGGTTCAGGCTTTGTAATATTTTCAGGGAGATAATTAAAAGGGTAATAGAAAACAAATGCATGAAAAGGTCACTGATGCCACAGTCTCTAATCTAAAGGATATTACTGTACTAAGTTATCAGAACAAATAAAATTATATAATTTATTGGTCACACTATGCCATAAAAATTTGAGGAAACATTGACCATGAACTCATCCTATTTTAATTGTTAGAATCAAAATTTATTGAGCACAAAACGATTTATATTTTTATGTTCCAGATGGAAGGCCTACTGAGTTAGCATCAAATCAGAAGGAACGGCAGAAAAAAAATTATGCAATGGCTGTAAGATATTAAATTATATATGCCCAGTGGTTTAGTAACATGGTTAGATTTATAAGCTGCTGGGTTATTTGTAAATTTAGTGTAACGAGTTACATTCATAATAATTATTAGAAACATCATGTTAGCCATTATGTCTCAATGTCATTAAATTTATTTATTATAAGTAATTTATGTCGCTCAAGTGCATTTATACTATTTATTTTTACACTGGGTTGGGGAGGGGGGAACATCTCTCATATATATATATTAAAGGCTGACTAAAATTTTAATTTTATTTGTAATTTTTTATTTTCATATTCCAGACTGTCTTCAACATTAAAAATGTTCTTTAAAGAATGTCACATTTAATTTCAGTAATGGTCCAGTTTTCATTTTTTCCTATAAACATTTCATTTATTAGGATGGGTTGGAAATTTTATTTTTCGGATTACTTAAAAACATTGTAAACATTGTCACCCTTAAACTTAATAATAAGAAAGCTCTAAATTTGAATTATAGACTCAAAGTGAGAGTCTCAGTGTCCACTTCTCAAATGTCTTGTCCTGTTCTGTTTAACTATATTATTAAACAACTGGCCGATATACCTTGCATGTATATATATATGATATGATATGATATGACAAACCATCTTTTATGTTTTATTTCTGACAGAAACAAGTTGTACAATTGTTAGATGAAATTAAACTTGCACAGCAACAACTGAAAATAAACCAACAAGAAATCTCAAGTTCTCAGCAGCAAAGAAAAGATTCTGCACTTTTGGAAAAAGGAAGGCAGACATATTAATACTATTAATAGATGCAATTTATGTATGTTGAAATAATTTAAGGCAAATGTGTTTGCTTTTGAGATATAGAAGGTTGTATTTGTATAAAAAGTATTATTTACTCTATGAAACATTTTTTGTCAAAGAAATGTATTATAACAAAATTTTAATAAAAAATTAACATTACATAGTCGTAAATGAGTTGTCCATATGTTTCCAAAACAATTATACTACTACTTATTCTTTTTAATCCATGAAATTGAAGCATAAATTATAGTTATTATAAATAAGTAGTGGTCTAACAGTGCTACCAATGTACTTTTATGTTAAATTATTTTAAAATGCTGTAACTGCAAGAATATGTAAGTTTTACCAAAAAGAGCCCAACCAGCTGTTTTATAAAATGCTAATAATAATTTATTCCAAGACACTAAAAGTTATATAATAGCATCATATTTACAGCTATTACACCATATGATTTTGTGGCCTATTTATGTCTATGATTTTATATCATTGCAGTTTGTGCCTATCTACTATTTTATTACTACTGGTCCTGGTAACTCACCACTGTGCTCAAGGCCAATCTTGTTATTATTATTATATCTGTAATTATGAAAGACTTTTAGTAAACCAAATTCCATTAAAGTGCAAAAAGAAAAATGGGGTTAAAATAAATTACTGGTCAATCATTTAACAATTTTCTCTATTGATTTTTGGCATTTGAGTCCTTTCAAATTTTGCAACTTATTGATGTAATTTAAGATGCAGGTAACCTATAAACTGTATTTGGCTTATGGCCGAAAATGAAAAATCTTCCTACAACTACAACTAATCTTTCACACAATCACAGTTTACCATTGTTTCTGCAATAGTATAAACAGGATTTCAGTATTATTTCTTTGTCAAAAGAACTGAGTCGCTAGGTGCTGTGAATAGCTTTTGATAATTATGTTTCCATTTTAATAAACCAATCAATAATTTTTAAAAACAAGACTGGAAAAGTGAAAATATTATTAAATTTAACTTTTCCATCTATGAACGGCCAAGCTGATGATATAATATGCCCAAAACGCTCTAAGCATGACGAGAAGAGGTGCAGATGATGTTTCTGCAAGAAGCTCCATTGTCAGTGACTATAAAACTCCTGTCAGGTCGAGTTTCTACAGGCTCTCCAGGACGATCACAAATCCGTCAGCAAGAGCACTTGTTAAACAATTCATTAAACTTTATGTTAAATGATCATCTGCTCGAAGCAAGGTTTTGAAGCTATCCTCTCAAATTGATCACAAAGGACTGAATATACAGTAGCTTCAACAGCTCGAATTCTGATTTGTTTTAATATGGAAATTAACTTTTTCAGGTCCTGGCATGTCATGACATGTGACACTGATTGATATTCTAAAAATTATTACCGGTACCTAGAATTCCGCAGAATGGGAAATTTGAATGGGACATGTTATATTTAGGCCTACCAAAAACTAACTAGATCCTGTGTAAGAAACCCTTCTTGTACATAATATTTCCAGATTGTGTCACATTGCAAGAATGTGCAATGCCAAACGCAGCAAAGAAAAGGGGGCAGGCTTTTGGTGCTACCGGTACATCAGGAGTGCCTAAATTGTAAAAACACTGAACTACAAAAATTTGAAAATGAAAAAAATACATGTAATACTGATTCCTGTGCCAGTTTAACTCTTTGAAATAATTTTTATAAAGATAGATGTTATTTCATATTATACTTAAATATTTTTTTTATTTTGATTCTTCAAATTACCATTCATTCAGTTCTTTAATTCACTTTGAGGATTGCAAATTAAAGAAATAACTTTTTATTATGATTTTCAAAGTAGTATGGTCAGATATGTAGGAGGTTGGGTAGCGCGGGGCAAGCGCTTTGGACGGCTCTCTTTATTGTATGCCAAAATTCTGACATCGTGGAAGCAACAAACTAGCAACTAAAACTATTCATGATCAATTGTGGTAAAAAGCATATACTATTTTTTTCTCTTTAATTAAATCACATAATATAAAAGAAGTTCTTCTTCAAAACTTTGTGCATCGAAATGAAAAAATATATATAAATAAGAGAATTCTTCTTTTAATATCAATTTTAACGGATCATTGTTAAAAAAGCTTAAAAAGTGAACCAATAAAAAAAAAGGATGCAGTTATTCTATGGATTATACGCATTTTAATTTTTCTCTCCTTTAATATTTTTGAATTCTTAACCTTGTTTTAATATTTGCTTTGAAAAATGTTGTCGTTTTCACATGGCAACGTTAAAGGTGTCCTGTGCGTTTTGAAAATTTCATAAATCACGTTTCGTATTGGTATTTGGTGTTATCGTAGTACGGTGTTCTTCTAGTTTGCTCCGAGAAATAGTAAGTCTACTTAATTTCCGATGTTCCATTTTTGATGTATACATTAACATTAAATAAAATTAAGTTGAAAATTAAAAGTGCAGTTTAACGTACACATTCTTTCAATTCATATACTTATGTAAATTTGATTCAGACGTTTACATGACTATGCTCTAGTCTAAGAAAGAAGGTAATCATAGTATTACTATATTATATATTAGTTATATTTAATATTAGGCTATCTATAGGCCTATATTAATACGAAGTGTGCCAAATTAATATTATTAAATTATATTAAAGTATATTATATAGGTATAATAAATCACTTCTTTCTTAGGACTTCTACTTAATAGTACTTTACTACTAGTTACTAGCCTATATAAAAGTATTATTAATAATATTATTAAAATAGTATTATTAGTATTAGTTAGTACTAGAAGTTAGTAGTTACTTAGCTAAAGACTAAATTACTAAAGTTAAAGTATTACAGTAGTTTGTGTTAGTCTAGTGTTAGTACCCTACTGTTACTGTTAGGTCAGTGAGTTAGTGTGTATAGAGTAGGCCTGCCTATAACTATAACTATAACTATAGACTATGCTATAGTCACTATAACTATAGAGTATAGAGTATAAAATAAGTAGCCTAATAGTAATAGTAATATAGTATAATATGAGATGCTTTAACTTTAATTACTTTAACTTTTTAAAAATAGTGTAAAAATTTAAATTTATGGATAGGCCTAAAATAATTTAATTGTAATAAAATAAAAAATAAATTAAAAAAAAAAAGGCATATTCATATGCCGGTGGCCAGTGTCCCCAGTATTACTGGGCAGGTAAAGGTTGGGTTAGCAGCATGGGTTTTGCCAAGTGTTATCACACCCTAAGTGCAGTAACATTATTTTTGGCTTTGGGGAATCTCAACACTGGACTTGGGGTGAATAGACCTAAGCCTAAGCGATGTGTATGATAACTTCTCTGAGTATTATTCACATCACAAACTAAATCTGATGACTGATGAACGATAAAAATAATTAATTAATATGAATTTTTAAAGTTGAAATTAAATGTTCTATTCATTTTTATTACTTTCAAGACAAGGTTCAAAAGAAATTTAAAAAAAATCATCCTTACTGATAACCCGAAGATGAAGACCAGTGAAAAAAGATTTGTGTTAAAAGTGCTGTCTTTTACTTGGTTGAAAAAGAAGTATTCATTTCTATCATGTCACCATTTCACTGGGACATTTAACCATAAATTTTTGTTTTGGGGAGCCTACACGCCTTCCCAAACCTCTGCCCCTCTTTCAATACAAAAATAAGAAGCAAAATAATTTTCTAAGAATGGGAGATCCCTTCCCAGATTCTCTCCCCTCACTTTCCAGACAAAAACAAAAAATGAGATTTTTTGTGTGTATCAAATAAACTCAAAGATCATCTAAATCTTTTGAATATAGAATTAGGGACAGTTGTTGACCTGGAGAACCTTCATGACCTAAATTCAGCAGAAGACATCGCCAGCCTTACCGCTAGCCTAATCCTGGTTGCATATGCATGGCCTGGTGCTGGGATTCGCCCACCAGGGATCCTTAATCCGGGCCGCCGCAGGGGTACCTGGGTAGCAGTGACAAATATTGAACTGGATATTAGTCATCTCATTAGCCTTACTCCCCTTAAAAATACTATTAAGTTTATGTTGGATATATGTTTTCTTCATGTTCGAACATTTTTTTCACGGCAAATGAGATATGTGCAGTGTGCATAGAATTTGTTCAAATTTTTTTCGAACTATAGTCCAGCCCCTGACAGTGTCTGAGGACACTGATTCGGTCCCTTTTTTAAAAAGTTTCAGGAACCCTTGCCTAGTGAGTATGCCCAGGGCCTAAGGCTCATATAATTATAATATTTAAGTATTTGGCCTATAATACTCCATATTCATTGAAGTAGTTAAAGTTATACCAAAATACAAATTATTTTTAATTTTACTTTGTAAAAGTAATACTACTCTAGTCTAGTAGGCCTACTTAAGTAAAGAAGGCCTTTAGGCATTCACTTTACACAACTGGCTCTACTCTATGTATATATAAATGGCTTAACTTGTTTTGAAGGCTGAAACCGGGCAGAAAGTATCATTAGTGGGGCATACCTAGGGTTGAAGCTAATGGGGCAACCACTGCGAGTGGCACTTTTGCTATTGTTTATTACCAGTATTATATAACAGATGTTTGTAGTGTGAATCATTATGGGGGCTCAGTTTTGGCAATTGTCACAGGTGAAACTTAGTCAAGCTATGCCACTTAGCTAACTTTGTATCATTCAAGGTCTAAAAGGCAATATCTGCGTGTTTGGATTTTGGGTGTGAGAAAGAGTATACATACTTTCAATTTGGTTACTTAAATTCACAGGTTAAGAAATGCCTTTATTGTTTTAGTCCAAAAAAAATCAATCTACAACTCAGAAATTTGGATTTTATTATAATCAAGAAAAGATTTCTGACTTAATATCTGACTTCTCATGAGGAGTGCTAGTGATTTATTCATAATTTTAAAAGAAAATTCTTTAGCACTGCTGACAAAATCACAAATTAATCTGAAAAAAGTTTGGAATGTAAAAAAAAAAAAATATTTTAAACATTAACCAAAACATTGTCTTTTTCATTCTGGTGAGTTGTTTATAAAAGACATCCACAAAGAAGGGAGTGGGTTCATTCAAAAGCAGACAATTGCCGACAAGGGAGATGGGTGGACGGGTAAAGAATCTTTTGGACTTCAGAAAGACAGTCTGGAAAGCTAACATTTTTGGTTACATTGTGCTTTAGGCCCTCTGCGTGCATTCCAGTATGTTCAACATTTTTGAATTGCGGTCAAATTCTATGTTGTTGTTTTTTTCCACTACAAATGAGATATGGGCAGTGTGCATAGAATTTGTTCATAATTTTTTTTAATTAGGGAAATTGACAAAAAGTTAAAACTTCATATTTGGCTGCTATTTATCAATTATTTATTTAGTTATCAACCATGCCAGTTTGGCTTAAATTCTTTTTCTCTAATACTCAGGTCTGGTTGACTTTAATTGAATGATTTATGTTATAATTTTTTTAGAAGTTAAGATCTCTTTGCTCTTTATAATCTTCAATAAGTTAATATGCTTCCTAGCATTTCGCAATTTATAGTGGCATATGCGGATGTCTGTAACCAGTCGAGAGGTGGGGAAAGCCACATGCGAACAATAGTGGACAGGGAGGCGCAGGGGGGAAAATGATACATACTGTTTCTGACTTCCTTTTTGAACAAACCTCTTTTTAACATGTTTAACTTCGCTTCATTGCACCATCATAGATTGTTTATCAATGACTACCAAAACTATATGGGAGAAATTCACATTTTGTCCAGAATTAAACGGGCAGAATCATTTTAACTGATAAATTTCTGCTTCAATTATTTTTATTGAAAAATTTAATAGGTTGTATAATCACGACATGTATTTTAATACAGGGAATTTTGAAGAATGTATCACTCCTCCTTTGGATACAAGTGCTCTGACTGTCAACAATGTTGAAAATCTACTTAGTTTTGTTGATTGCTTGTGCTATAAGTGTGACAATTTCAGAACTGATTGAGGCTGAGAATGATGAAAACATCAACATAACTTTGCTTCCCATTCATCGAGATGATGTTCTCACACAATGGAAAAATCCACAAAAAGAGCATCACAGACACAAGAAGCAGATGAGACGACTTTCTCACAGTGCTATATTTCCTAATGACCAGAGGGAAATTGTAACTAGCGATCAACATGACTACTCAAAGCGTTACGCAGATAAAAAAAGGCTTTGGCGTAAAAGGGCCACATATCTGCATCAGCCGAGAAAAGCAGTGAAAAGAGCCTTGGCGGAGGATTGGGGGAATACAGGGTTCAAGGCCAATGGAGCGCACCCACCTGATGAGGCTCCTGCTCCAATTGCACAAGTTCATGAAATTACAAATGATACAAGGTAAATTGTTTTATTTATTTAATGCTCATTAAATAGCCTTGCATAACTTTTAATATTTTTTTTTGCCTTGTATTCCACATCACATAATATTTGAAAATGCTGATTAAATTCCATGCATTGACACTAACAGTGGAGATTGCATGCATTTCTTGGGATACAACCATTCATTGACAGTAACAGTGGAGATTGCATGCATGTCTTGGGATACAACCATTCATTGACACTAAAAGTGGAGATTGCATGCATTTCTTGGGATACAACCATTCATTGACACTAACAGTGGAGATTGCATGCATTTCTTGGGATACAACCATTCATTGACACTAACAGTGGAGATTGCATGCATTTCTTGGGATACAACCATGCAATTTATTGTCAACTTGTTCCTTTGATATTTACTCCACAATACTTCAAGTATGGTAATACTTGTGATCTGATGACGATTCATTTGCAAATTATAAAAAAAATGAAGCTGGTTAACGGTAAAGTGCTTGAGATCTTTGTTAAGATATAATTTTTTAATAATATATCTGATGAGGATTCTTTTTATTCTGACTATGGTCCGCAATAATTTTATCTCATGTTGAATAGGACTGGAAAACATCAGTTAAAATACCTCTTGCTTAATTAGCAATATGAGAAGCTGGGAGGTGAGTATTGTTGAGGACTGTTTCATCTGGCCAATGCAGTTGAAAAGGTTCTCAAACAGACTAAGAAGGTGTCTCACAAAAACCTTGCAGCAGCCAATGCTCATTACTGAAAGGGGGAGCAGAAATTCCAGTCAGAAGTGGAGCAGAGACTCTCAGTCTAAAGTAGATCAGAGACTCTCAGTCTAAAGTGAAGCAGAGACTCTCAGTCT